TTGCTGCTATGGAAAATAGCATGAGGGTTCCTCAAAAAATTAAAAACAGAATTACCATATTGTAGAATCCTAGTAAGATACATAAGCAACAAGTAAGGGGCCCCAGGAGGAGGAAAGCAATTCTGCTGAGACACGGCTAATCACAGGCGACGCACGGGCACAACATCCTGTTCCCAAATACCTCATTCAACACATAGCCCCAGCAGAGTGACCTTATCTGCACACCTTCTCTGCTCATAGTCCCGTCAGTATGACCCTATAAAACTTCCCTGTAGCCCCTGATTCTGCAGATAGCCCCTTCTCTGCTGTGCTGCCCACTGTTCCCTTGCAACTTTATCTTTGTATTTTCTCTAACAAATCTGTCCTCTTTACCTATGACTGTCTTGGTAAATTCTTTTACCACCCACAATGCCAGTCCCAGCCAGTGACACCCATGACACACATGACCCAGCAATTACACTTCTGCAGATACACCCACAAGAATTGAAAGCAGGGTCTCAGAAGAGATATTTGTACATCCATGTTCACAGAAACATTATTCACAAAACAAGTCACACTCAATGTCACTGATAAGTTCTTGGAAACTGTGACTTTAAGTGAAACCACATACAGCAGGTCCTTAAACAACATCATTTCCATCTTTATTATAGGTTCTGAGGGTTGCAGTTTCAAAAGCCAATGATGTTAAGTGAAGCTTTACAGTAATTAAAATCTGCAAGTGCTTGGGTGTAGGCTCACAGCTGTAATCCCAACACTTTTAAGAGGCCAAGGCAGGTGGATCACTTGAGGACAGGAGTTCGAAGGAATTCTTAACAGAACCCATTTAGGATTAAACACGTTTTATTGTGGGTATGAAGAAACTCCCCAGGCCTCCACAAACAAGTTTACTGGGGGTCTGAAGGAACTTCCCAAACCTCCATGATTTAGCAGGAGACAAGATAAGGGTAATCACCCCAGCACCTGGACCCATTTAGATTAAGTAAATTTACTAAGGCTCCAGAGGAAGGTCTTCAGGACTCAGACCTTAATTATCGATTTTAAAAACTTAGTCACTTATGTCTTTAGATGAGTGCACACTTACATGTAGACATACAGCTTAAAAGGTCTACGGGCTCTGGAAAACCGTAATTTTAAGTTGGTCTGGCGATAATTTCCAGGACTTCTCCCTGTAACCGGTTACAGGAATAAAAACTCTCTCTGGCCAGGCGTGGTGGCTCATGTCTATAATCCCAGCACTTTGGGAGGCCGAGGCAGGCGATCACCTGAGGTCAGGAGTTCAAGACCAGCCTGGCCAACATGGTGAAACCCCATCTCTACTAAAAATACAAAAATCAGCCGGGCGTGGTGTGGCATGCACCTGTAATCCCAGCTATTTGGGAAGTTGAGGCAGGAGAATCCCTGGAACCCAGGAGGCGAAGGTTGCAGTGAGCCAAGATCGCACCACTGCACTCCAGCCTGGGCAACAGAATGAGACTGTGTCTCAAAAAAAAAAAAAAAAACCCTCTTCCTCCCCAGTTCATCTGCATCTCATTATTGGGCAGCAAGAAATAGCAGCCTGACCCTCAGTTTGATACGAGAACACTGGAAGCCAGGGGTTGCAGTGAGCCAAGATCGTGCCACTGCACTCTAGCCTGGAAGACACAGCAAGACTCTGTCTCAAACAAACAAACAAACAAAAAACCTGAAGCAACCCAATTGACAGATGATGGATAAGCAAAATGGGGTAAATACATACAATGGACAATGGACAATTCAGCTTTAAAAAGAAGGAAATTCTGACATATGCTACAACATAAATATGCCTTGGGATATTATGCTAAGTGACAGACAAATATTTTATGATTCTACTTACATGAGAAATAGAGTAGTCAAAATCATAAAGACAGCAGAATGGTGGTTACCAGGGTCTACGTGGAAGGGGAATGGAGAGTTACTGTTTAACGGATACGGAGTTTTAGTTTTACCATATGAAAAAAGTTATGGAGTCGGATGACGGTGATGGTTGCATAGCATTAGGAATGTATTTAATACCACTGAACGGTGCACTTAAAAATGGTTAAAATGGTAAATGTTATGTGTACTTTACCACAATTTTCTTAAAGGTTACTGCTGCCAGGCACTGTTGATTTTTTCCACTCTTCACAACTACCTTTTGAGGCAGGTTAAAATTCTCATCTTATTTAAAGAGGAGGAAACGCAGGTTATGAGCAATTAGGTGTCTTCCACTTTAGCTTCCAAGATGTGATGATCACAGACATGGCTTCTAAATTCTAGAGCCAGAATTTGAAGATAGGCAGTCTATCTCCAGAGAAAACAAGACAAGACAGGTTGTCTACTACACTAGAGCTTACATTCTTGTAGGGACAGATACAAACAACCATATAAGAGATTAAAACCTTTCATATCACAGTGACAGATGCAAAATACCTTTGAAAGCAGGTACACAGCAGAAAACACAGTAACCTTTAGTAAAGATAGCTATTAGATCCTTCCCTGCTCTGACTGGAAAGGGCGCAGAACACGGTAATGATTCTTTGAGAAGCCCAAGAAAGGGCAATAATGTAGAAAGAGAAACTAGGGGTGAAATTTTGCTGCAGTTTATCTCCAGCTAGATTTGATTGAATACTACCAGGGCGAGTATTTGAAGTATTTGTATTTGGCTATACGAGGATATTTGTAATCAGAAAAGACTTAAAAGGGATTTTCATCAAGGAATGTTAGCATATGTAATTTTGTAACAAGTTCAAATTCCTGCTGGAAATCTGTTAAATACCACTGGTTCTTTGCATCATGTTTCGAGCAAATCCCTATGTATATTGCCTCATCCTGTGGAGTGGCATAATTCAAATTAAATTGGGAGAATAAGGGTAAAAACAGAACAAGATATTTTGAGGCTGGAGACAACTTTTTGACTTTAAAGTTTCACTTCCTCTTTACCTGTTTCTATTGCACAGGGCAAATAGCTCACAGTATATATTTAATGAGGAGGATTAAATAAATTAATACTTTAAACCCTTAAAATGATGCTTGAGGTCAGGTGCGGTGGCTCCCGCCTGTAATCTCAGCACTTTGGGAGGCCGAGGTGGGTGGATCACGAGGTCAGGAGTTCGAGACCAGACTGGCCAACATGGTGAAACCCCATCTCTACAAAAAAAAAAAAAAATTAGCCCAGCACGGAGGCATGCACCTGTAAACCCAGTTACTCAGAAGGCTGAGGCAGGATAATTGCCTGAACCCAGGAGGCAGAGGTCGCAGTGAGCCAAGATCACACCATTGCACTCCAGCCTGGGCAACGCAGCAAGACTCCGTCTTGAAAAAAAAAGGAAAATGATGCTTGACACATAACAGGTGCTCAGTAAATGTTGGCTGTCATTATCATTTAGTACAGTGACACATTATTTAATAATTGAGTCAGTTTCCTCATCTGTAAAATGAAAATAACATTGTAATTTCTTTGCACAGTCTTTGAGATAATAAAATGCACCGAATACCAAGCATTTGATGCTTTGCTATGATTATTCACACCACCATAATGCAACTCACTAGGTCCAAATAACCCTGTTAAGACTGTATTGGTCAGGTGCAATGGCTCACGCCTATAATCCCAGCACTTTGGGAGGCTGAGGCAGGCAGATCATTTGAGGTCAGGAGTTCGAGACCAGCCTGGCCAACATGATGACACCCCATCTCTACTAAATATACAAAAATTAGCCAGGCGTGGTGGTGTGCACCTGTAGTCTCAGCTACTGGGAGGCTGAGGCAGGAGAATGGCTTGAACCCGGGCAGTGAGCCAAGACGGTGCCACTGCACTCCAGCCTGTGTGACAGAGTGAGACTGTCTCAAAACAAACAAACAAAAAGACTGTATTATGACTTTCCTGAGACCTAGGCACTTTTGCCTTCAAGGGCCCCTTCCTCTTAAGTTACCAAAAATCGTATGTTATGACTGCATTGGTATAAAATGAATATAATACAGGCTAGATTCGTTATCATATTCATAAACATTTTGATCTTTTTAAAAAAGAAATTTAAATTAAAACACTTTCGTGGACCCCTAAAACTATCATGAGTTCAGGCAGGTGAATCGCTTGAACCTAGGAGGCGGAGGTTGCAGTAAGCCAAGATCGCGCCACTGCACTCCAGCCTGGGTGACAAAGTGAGACTGTCTCAAAAAACAAAGAAAACAAAAAAAACCTCTCTTCCCCCCCAGTCCATCTGCATCTCATTATTGGGCGGCACCGTACTTACTGTGCCTAAAGAATAAGTTGGCCCTGAGCCTCTTTACCTGTCTACATATTACCTGTCTTCATATTCCTTAGCATAGGTGGGCTTCTCAGCAACATGACTTTGCATATGTGGGACTAGAACCCAGCCTTTGGGCAGGTGGAACGCAACAATAAGCTTGTGACCTAGAGATACAGGTCTCAGCTCTATAGCTTCCTAGACTCAGCTTCATCCGCAAATTAGCATTGAGATGGTGAATAACAACGTTTTAGAAATGCTAATAATGTAAACGCGATCGATCTGACTACTTCAGGAAAACCCCTCCTACAGCTCGCGCTCCGTCTCTCCTCTCAAGCCCCAAGCCCACAATTTGTCCCGGCTCCCTCCGGATCCCACCAAGGTCACCCTGGAAGCGTCCTCTCTTTTCTCGCCCTGCACCCGCTTCACGCCCGTTCTCCCAAGGCCAGCACCCACCAACAGCCTTCGGAAAGCCACGAGTGAGGAAGCCCCCAAATCCGAGTCGAGTGCCAAGGGAGCGGCCAGAAAGCGCTGCCACCGCAGTAACCGAAACCCGTCGCAACAAACTCATGCCCGCCATGGCTACTGCGAGCAACAGGAAAAATGGGGGCGGGTCACGGAAGCTGAGAGAGCCAATTTACCAATGAGGACAAAGGCAGGAAGTGGCCATCTTAAGTGAGGGCAAGTTTCTAGTCCCTTCACGGCCGGCTTGAGACGCCGGAAGTAACGCCATCGTTGGCGGAAACGCGGTTTGCCTAGTTATGCGAAAACATGGCTGCGGCAGGTTTGGCCCTTCTTTGTAGGAGAGTCTCAGCTGCCCTGAAAGCTTCCAGGTCGTTAATAACTCCTCAGGTCCCTGCCTGCACAGGGTAAGTGATGGGTAAAGTAGGTTTGCCCACCTCTCCAACTCTGGATCTTCTTTGGTTGCGGAGATGCCAAGAACAGTTCAAGAATGGAAAGGCCGCCTGGATGGCAGAGCAGGAGCCCACTTTGGTGAGGAGTGAGTGACCTTGGAGAAGTCGCCCACCTCCGACATTTCTATTTCTTCCTCATTTTGTTGCTGCCCGCTGCGGACAAGACAGTATATGGGGTTTGTAGATGTCCAGAATTTGTTCAAGTAAATAAACCTATAAGTACAGAAGCATCCTGTTGGGCTGGGTGAGGTGGGAAAAGCTTTACCTAAGATGTTTTTGTTATGATACTCAAGTCTGTGTCAAGTTTGGATGGTTTAAAAGGTGTTTGTATTTACAGAATGTGTTACAATGAAAGTAACTGGTAACTTCGTAACTTCTTTAATTTTTTTTTTTTTTTGGTTCTGGATCCAGTGAAGGATCATTTATTACATTGGTTGCCCTGACTCTTTAGTCTCTAATCCGGAACAATTTCTTTTTTTCTCTGTCTTAATGTTGTTGACATTTTGATGAGATTAGCTTTTTAAGAATCTCTCTTCTTTTGGATTTTTCTGATTGTTTCCTCATGATTAGATTTAGGCTAAATATTTTTGGTAGGGATACAACACTTGTGATAAACTTCATTATTTAGTTTCAGATCATCTCAGGTCATTATTTTTTAAAAACAGGAATTTTGAATTACTGCATAATAATTTATCCAGATGCACAATAATTTTTGAACCATTCTCAGCTGCACATTTACATAATTAAAAACTTGATATCCTATATAGTGCTTTAATAAACATCTTAATTTACAAATTCCCATCTATGATAATTTCTTCAGTTGAAATTTCTAGATGTAGAATTACTGAGTTAAAGGAGGAAGTATTTGAGGCTCCTGATACATGTTGCAGAATTGTGGGGCTTTTTTGTTTTTGTTTTTTGAGACAGGGACTGACTCTGTCGCCCAGGCTGGAGTGCAACGGTGTGATCTCAGCTCACTGAAACCCTCTGTCTCCCAGGCTCAAACCATCCTCCCACCTCAACCTCTCGAGTAGTTGTAACTATAAGACACATGCCACCACTCCTGGCTAATTTTTGTATTTTTGTTAAAAGACGAGGTTTTGCCATCTTGCCCAGGCTGCTCTTGAGCTCCTGGACTCAAAGTGATCCTCCCACCTCGGCCTCCCAAATTTCTGGGATAACAGGTGTGAGCCACCGTGCCCAGCCCACATGTTGCAAAATTGACTGCTCTTTTTACCTGTGCTTGCACCCATTAGCAATGTAAGAAGGACCCAAAAATGTTACCTTAAAATATAATTGTGTTAATGTGTTACCTCTGAAATTATAAGGTAGCAGCTTCTATAATGCAATATTGAAAATACTTTCTAAAGCATTTTCAACATTTATTGTGACCAAACATGGTGGCTCATGCTTGTAATCCCAGCACTTCGGGAGGCCAAGGTAGGAAGATCACTTGAGTCCAGGAGTTCGAGACCAGCCTGGACAACATAGTGAGACCAAGTCTCTAAATAAGAAAAAAAAAAAAAATTAATTCTTGTGCAGAAACCCTGAGTAGCTTTTTAAAACATTATAGATGACAAAATGATTATATTTATTATGATAATGTTTGCTGCTTATAAAATCCAAATATTATAAAACTTTACTTGTTTATATGTGTTCAATTGCAGGTTTTTTCTTGGTTTGTTGCCTAAGAGTACACCAAATGTGACATCCTTTCACCAATATAGATTACTTCATACCACATTGTCAAGAAAAGGACTAGAAGAATTTTTTGATGACCCAAAAAACTGGGGGCAAGAAAAAGTAAAATCTGGTGAGATACTTGGATTTGTCAACATTAAATATATTTATGGAACCTCCCCCCATCATTCTAGGATTATTTATCCAGTTTAGGAATTATTTAGATGTTTCCTTTTTCAGTTTTCTTTGAGACTGTCTACTAGAGAAAATTAAAAGAACCATATAATAGTAGAGTTAATTGTTCCTTGGCAGATGGGCAAGATAGTTAGAAAAGGAATAGGTTGAAATTATTAACTAAAGTAAGGTTTAGGGCTTATTTTAGATTTTATTTTTTAATGATAATTAGAAGTTTATTTATTTATTTAGAGATGGAGTTTTGCTCTTGTTGCCCAGGCTCGGGTGCAGTGGCACAACCTTGGCTCACTGCAGCCTCTGCCTCTCGGATTCCAGTGATTCTCCTACCTCGGCATCCCAAGTAGCTGGGATTACAGGCATGTGCCACCATGCCCAGCTAATTTTGTATTTTTAGTAGAGATGGGGTTTCACCATCTTGGTTAGGCTGGTCTTGAACTCCCGACCTCAGGTGATCCCCACCATCTTGGCCTCCCAAAGTGCTGGGAATACAGGTTTGAGCCACTGCCCCCGGCCAAAAAGTTAACTTATAATGACATAAAGTATTTTGTCATTAGGGTGTGAAAATACATTCTGTACTAATGCTAACATTTTTTGAATGCTATTGCCAATCATGTTAATGTTATTTTCATATGTTACCTAATTTATCCCTAATTACAAATTATGTTATATACTGTAAAAAAGCTATTATATAGTTTACAGATAAGGAAACAGGTTTAGACAGGTTTAGAGAGCTTAAATAATTTGCCAAAGGGCACATGGCTAGAAATATTATTTCATGTTATGTATTATTTTAATAGGAGCAGCATGGACCTGTCAGCAACTAAGGAACAAAAGTAATGAAGATTTACACAAACTTTGGTAAGTATAGTAAGTACATTAATATCTAGACGTTTGAAGCAGTTATAATGTAACAATGAGGTAAAAACTAAATCTGATATAGGAAATTGAGTAAAGTGATTTGTTTTGTAGTACTATGGATGATAAATCTGATATTTAAGATCATGAAAGATTTTATATGACAGAGGTTAGGTTATGACAAATGTCACAGTTCTCAAGTGGTCGGGAATTCAGAAATTTTACTGTGATTTACATTGGTCCTACTAACACCTTTATACTAGCAATTTCAGTGAATTAATAAAATGAAACGGGGAACAGTTGGTTGCTTTTGTTTTTTTCTTTGAGACAAGGTCTCGCTCTGTTGCCCTGGCTGGAGTGCAGTGGTGCAGTCATGGCTTACTGCAGCCTTGACCTCCTGGGCTCAAGTGATCCCCCACCTCGGCCTCCTGAGTACCTGGGAGCACAGGTATGCATCACCACACCCAGCTAATTTTTTTGCATTTTGTGGTGAGGGAGTTTCCCTATGTTGCCCAGGCTGGTCTCACTGGGGCTCAAGTGATCCTCCCACCTCGGCCTCCCAACATCCTGGGATTACAGGCGTGAGCCACTGTGCCCAGCCATTGGTTATATTTAGAATTCTCTCCTTTTTATTATGTTTTCATGATCTGTAATCTTTAGTGTATTTGCTTTGGAAGGGCATGTTGGAGGGTGCATTTAATTGGGAATATAGGTAGATTTTTCTGGCGGGCTCTGATGAATTAGAGAGGGTTGAGAAGATTTAAGACAGGATTGCATTTTTAATGTACTATATGTAGGCCAAAGATATGTTTTGTTTGGACCATAATTGTTTTTTAAATTGGGAAGTTTCACACAGAAAATATTATTTCTGTCGGCTCTTGAATAACGAGACCTGTGATTTGGCAACACTGGCCCTGCATTCCTACGTGGCAACAACTTGGCTGGTCTGTGGAGCAACTGCCCCTCCTAGATGGAGCAGGGACACACCACTTCTTAGGCACCCTGTGGTTCTTTCACTGTGTCTACTTCCTTCATGATTGTTATCTGCCTAAGAACTCTAGTAGACATTTACTTTTTTTTATTTTCTTTTTTTGAGACACAGTCTCGCTCTGTCACCCAGGCTGGAATGCAGTGGTGTGATCTTGGCTCACTGCAACCTCCACCTCCGAGGTTCAAGCAATTCTCGTGCCTCAGCCTCTGAAGTAGCTGGGATTACAGGCTCACGCCGCCATGCCCAGCTAAATTTTTGTATTTTTAGTAGAGACGGGGTTTCACCATGTTGGTTAGGCTGGTCTTGAATTCCTGGCCTCAAGTGATCCGCCTCTCTTGGCCTCCCAAAGTGCTGGGATTATATACAGGCATGAGCCACCGTGCATGGCCAGCATTTATGTTTTTTCCCCTGATGTAAAGCATTGTTTATCTTTCTTGACAAATTAAAGAATTGTAAGGTATTTATAAAAACCACTGATACTATGTTTATTCATTATAGAAAAATAAGTTGTTTTAAAGCACTATTAGTTACCATGGGTTATCGGTGAAAGGATAGTTAAGGCTATTTCAACATTCATCATGGCTGCAACCAACCAAAGTTTTGCCATTTCTCTTTTTTGTTTTTGTTTTTGTTTTTTTGAGACAAAGTCTCACTTTGTCGCCCAGGTTGGAGTGCAATGGCGTGATCTCAGCCCACTGCAACATCTGCCTTCTAGGTTCTCGTGTCTCAGCCTCCTGAGTAGCTGGGATTACAGGCGCACACCACCACACCCAGCTAATTTTTGTATTTTAGTAGACACGGGGTTTCACCATGTTGGCCAGGCTGGTCTCAAACTCCTGACTTCAAGCGATCCACCCACCTCAGCCTCTGAAAGTGCTGGGATTACAGGTGTGAGCCGCTGTACTCGGCCCTAACTCTTATTCTCAAATAGATGTATTCAGAAAATCTGTCTTCACTTTAGCTCTGCTGCTTCAGTACCTTTGATTATGTTTGCTGTGCTCTCCCTTCTATGATAAACTGCATCTCCTCTATGAATCTTTCCCTGGTCATCTTAGCTAGAAAAGATGTTTCTCATCTCCCCCACTTAATTCTTCTGGTACTTATTGCCTGTCCCACTTATTATCCCACATACATTACAGTTTCAGAAGCAGCATGGTGGAGTTAAAATAGAATGGATTTTGTACACAGAGATCAGGGATTTGAATCTTGAATTACCTGTATGACCCAGAATACCTTACTTCTCTCAGCCTTAGCTTCTTTGTTTAGTAAGTGGAAATAATGCCAACCTCAGAAGGCGGTTGTGAAAACTAGATGAAATTAGTGTATATAAAATGGTTAACACATTGTCTGGCATATAATAGGTACTCAACAAATGTTATTTATCTTCCATCTGCCTTCTCTACTCTCCACTCAGAATGTAAGGACTATATTTTATGCCTCTTTGTAACTATCTTTGCACTTAATACATGTGGCAGATGAAAAGTTTATTGAACAAATGGATAAGCAAAGATAGTTATGTATATAGGATTATTCTTTGTAATCATATTCTATATATTGAGATTTCTAGTATGACTTTTTTTTTTTTTTTTGAGACAAGATCTCACTTTATCCCCAGGCTGGAGTATAGTAGTGCGATCTTAGCCCACTGTAGCCTTGAATTCCCAGGCTCAAGCAATCCTCCTGTCTCAGTCTCCCAAACAGCTGGGGCTACAGGTGTGTGCCACCATGCCCGGCTAAGTATATTTTTAATTTTTTTGTAGAGATGGGGTCTTGCTGTGTTGCCCAGGCTGGTCTTGAATTCCTGAGGTCAAGCAATCCTCCCACCTCAACTTCCCAAAGTGCTGAGATTACAGGTGTGAGCCACAGCACCTCGCCCATAAGTGACTTTCAAGTACAGACAATTAATTTTGATGTCAGAAATCACAACTTTATTAACATAACCACAGAATAGCATCACAAGGTTTGTGTTCTTTTGTTTAGGTATGTCTTACTGAAAGAAAGAAACATGCTTTTAACCCTAGAGCAGGAGGCCAAGCGGCAGAGATTGCCAATGCCAAGTCCAGAGCGGTTAGATAAGGTAAGAATTGGGGGAGGCTGGAGACTGGTATACACGATTACAGCTAAAAGGAGTTTAGCTATGTGGTTCTTGTATTTGTTGTCAAATAGATTTTTTTTTCTTATTTGTTTGAGTTTTAGTAAATGTGAGTAGTGCAACCATCATAGCTCATTTGGAAACATTTCCATCCCCCCTAAAAGAAATCTGATACTCATCTGCAGTCATTCCTCATTTCTACCTGCAAGGTTTTTTTTTTTTTTTTTTTTTTTTTTGGTGGGGGCGTGGGGGGCAGGAGGGTCTCACTCTGTCACCCACGCTGGAGTGCAGTGGTGTGATATCTTAGCTCACTGCAACCTCCACCTCCCAGGATCAAGCGATTCTCTTGCCTCAGCCTCCCAAGTTGTTGGGATTACAGGCACGTACCACCATGCCAAGCTAATTTTTGTATTTTTGGTATAAATGGGGTTTCACCATGTTGCCAGGCTGGTCTCAAACTCTTGACCTCAAGTGATCTACTCACTTCGGCCTCCCAAACCTACCTGCAACTTCTAACATAAATGTGGACAACTGTTTTTATTTGAGTAGATACCTAGGAGTAAAATTACTGGCTTATATGGTAAATCTATGTTTAGCATTTTTAAGAAACTGCCAAACTGTTTTCTAAGTAGCTATACCACTTTACATTCCTAGTTCTGGTTTAACCATTTCATTAATAACTAGATCAGTTTTTTACTGCTTTTTAAAATACTGTGGTAAAAATCACATAACATAAAATTTACTATCTTGACCATTTTTAAGTGTAATAGTCAGTAGTGTTTAATAGATTAACAATGTTTTGAAAGGTTGGTTACTTTTTTTTTTTTTTGAGACAGAGTTTCGCTCTTGTTGCCCAGCCTGGAGTGCGATAGCGTGATCTCGGCTCGCTGCAACTTCCGCCTCCCATGTTCAAGCAATTCTCCTGCCTCAGCCTCCCAAGTAGCTGAGACCCCAGGCACACACCACCACGACTAGCTAATTTTTTGTATTTTTAGTAGAGACGAGGTTTCACCATGTTGGCCGGGCTGGTCTTGAACACCTGACCTCGTGATCTGCCTGTCTCGGCCTCCCAAAGTGCTGGGATTACAGGTATAAGCCATCGTGCCCAGCCAAAGACTTATGTTTTTATTTAGATTTATGTTTTTACTCGATTGCTTTCAAGATCAACCCTTTATTGATTTTTTTCTGTGGCATAGTAAGTAGTGAGAACAGAATTCAGTTTTTGTAATAGCATTAGTGCTGCTAGCTAACCTTAGCTACTTTAGTTTCCTTTCCTCACGCCAGTCGCAGCCATTGTTACCACACTGCCTTTAAGATGGAAGGACAACAATACCTGGAGAAAATCAAAGAGGAAAAAAATGAAACCTCATTGATTTGCCCTAATTATGGAGAAGGTTATTCTGATGTAGTTAAAGTTGAGTTATATAACATTTTTTTCTTTTATCTTTATTTTGACATAATATTAGACTCACAGAAAAATTACAAGAATAGTAGAAGGAATTCTCATATACCCTTTACCCCGATTCCTCTGTTTTACTGCATTTACCTTATCCTTCTATTCATCCATCACTCCTCCATACACATTATTTTTTCTCAAATGTTTGAGAGTAAGTTGTACACGTGACATCCCTTTATCTATAAAAACTTCATAAAAACCAGGATATTCCCTTATATAACCACTGTGTAATTTTCAAAATCAGGAAATTAACATTGATACAATTCTATTAGCTGTAATCTACAGATCTTATTCAGAGTTTATCAGTTATCCCAAGTGTCCTTTATGGCAAAAGAAAATTCTGCATCATGAATTTTCATGTGTCTCTTTAGTCTAATCTGGAGACTATCTCCTTTAATCTTTCATTGTGTTTCCTGACATTGAACTTTTTTAAAACGATAGGGCCTGGGAGGTTGAGGCTGCAGTGAGCCCCGATTGCACCACCAAACTCTAGCTTCGGTGACCGAGCAAGACCCTGTCTCAATAAATAAAAAACTGAAAGTGCATTGACAAGGATGTTTTATAAAGAACACATTATTTGATGAAAAAGCTTTTGTTATAATGGTGCTGTTATAGAACTTCAACAGTGGATTATCTGCTTTAAATATATATTTCAGAGGTGAACTTCAGCCCAGTAGGTCATATGTACTGCACTTTCTCAATCAGTAGAACCCAAAATAATAGAAGTTTACTCCAGAGAAGCTGAAAGTGACCGTAATTTTTTCAAACTTCAAATATATCTGGTGTTTCCAGTGTTTTGTGACATACTACTAGGAAACTTTATTAAGCAAAAATGTAAAAAAATTTCTCAATATAAGATAGAAACCAAAGATTTGGAACTATTTTAAGGAAAACAGAAAAGAAGAATTATAACTGGGATATAATTCTTATCACTGGGCTGATCTGAGTTGATACCCAGTTCAAGCATATTACAGACAAATTTTACTTACAGAATAATAGAAAAATTAAGGGAGAAATTGTATAATTCTGGCACAATAGCTATGATTGTAACTAAAGTATTAACTATCCATCTGAGATTAAAAAAACCCTCACTATATGTGCTTCTCTTCAGAGTATTAGTACCTATTTATCACACAAATAAATGATATTATGTTACTTCCCTTGTGTTTGAAATACAGAAACAAGGCACATGATAAAAGATTGATTATAATTTTGCAAGTGTATCTTTTTGTCTCTTTTTAAAAAATGTGTTTTAAGGGCTACTCTGTAATATTAATTCTTGGCTGTAAAGAGAAGTGTATACTCTTACCCTGGAACACAGTCCTATTAATTTTATATTCTCTCAACTGACACTTTTGGCACTAAGAAACTTACAGAAAAGATGGGCTCTTTGAGGTTGACTTGTTTACAGTTAGGTATATCTAAATAATACTTCTGATTTTCCTTCACATTTCTTGGCATGAACTTCTGAATGTTAATTCTGTGGACTTGGTAGCCATTTTCTTTCTATCTTTGTGAGCTAACACTGGATTTCAGCTGAAAGCCTCAAGTCTTACCCTTGCTTAGGCAAACTGTTAGTGTAGTTAATCAACAACCAGATTTACTAAAAATTTCTAAAGATTAGCGAATTTTATATAAAGCCCTTATCAGTGTGGTCCCTTTACCCTCCTGAGTTTGCTTGTCTTCAAAATAGAATTTGTCTTAGTCATCTTTTCTTTTTCAGGGATTTTGTAGAAAATAAAATAGTTAAGAGGAAGGCATGTGAATTCAGCTACTGTAAGCCATTTAGTGAAGTTGAGGATAGCAGAAGTGCTGAGTGTGAACCGAGCAGGTTATGGGCCGGGTGCGATGGCTCACGTCTGTAATCCCAGCACTTTGGGAGGCCAAGGCAAACAGATCACTTGAGCCAGGGAGTTTGAGACCAGTCTGGGCTACATGGCAAAACCCTGTCTCTACCAAAAACATACAAAAATCATTCGGGTGTGATAGTGCATGCCTGTAGTGCCAGCTACTTGGGAGGCTGAGGTGGGAGGACTGCTTGAGCCTAGGAGGCAGAGGTTGCAGTGAGCCAAGATCGTGCCACTGCACTCCAGCCCGGGTGACAGAGCTAGACCCTGTCTCAAAAAACAAAAATGAAACAGATTATGAAATAATTTATCTAAATTTGTGGCTTTCACATCTTTTTCAGATCTCATAGTTACCTGGGAGATTATAATCTGTGCTTTTTTTGAGGATTCTTATGAGAAACAAATGTGCTTATGCAGTATTTGATATCTCTTGTGATGCTTAAGGGACATACATAACACATAAAATGGCTCTCAGTATGTATTTAGAACTATGAAAAAGTTTGGCCCATCTCACATTACAATCCCCAACATATGAATATTTATGTATAAACAAATATAAGGCCGGGTATGGTGGCTTATGCCTGTAATCCCAGCACTTTGGGAGGCCAAGGTGGGCAGGTCACCTGGGGCCAGGAGTTTGAGACCAGCCTGGCCAATATGGTGAAATCCCGTCTCTACTAAAAATACAAAAAATTAGCCGGGCTTCGTGGCGGGTGCCTGTAATCCCAGCTGCTCAGGAGGCTGAGGCGGGAGAATCACTTGAACCTGGAAGGTGGAGGTTGCAGTGAGCTAAGATAAGTGAGCCGAGATCACACCACTGCACTCCAGCCTGATTGACAGAGCAAGACTCTGTCTCAAAAAAAAAAAAAAAAAAATATATATATATATAAAAAAACTCTGCCAATGTATACATTATAAAACAATAGAAATCTTAAAGAGGTAAAATTAAATAGAAGTTTAATAGTATCATCTTGCATCTTGATAAATCTTTGGAGATTCTTATCTAGATGGACTGCTATTCCTTTCCCTGTAGTAGCAACAGCTACCAAGCAGGCTGCAATATCTGTGTCTGCATGTCAGGGACACAATGATTAGTTGAGACCAGAACATGTCTTTTTTAATATAATGAAAATAGCAAATTGTTGTCACTTCTTATTAGCTCATTGAGTTTTGAAATAACATCAATCAAATTGGGTCTCCAAAAAGAATCTATATAAGTGTATCTCACTCCAAACAGAACTAATATGTGGAAATAGATTTGTAGTTAAACAAAACTATAAACTTTTTTAAAAACATAGAAAGTGGTAATCTAGACACCCATGTAGACATACTTGTGCCAAAAAGATTTTTAGGAAATACTTAACAGAGTGGTTCTTTGGTATAAATATTCATCATAAGTTTTCTGTAGCGGAGTGTTTATACATTCTCTTTTTTTTGGAATTTTGTAGTAGGTGATTGTTGAAATTGTATCTTTCTATTCTCCTTTCAGGTAGTAGATTCCATGGATGCATTAGATAAAGTTGTCCAGGAAAGAGAAGATGCCCTAAGGCTTCTTCAGACTGGCCAAGAAAGAGCCAGACCTGGTGCTTGGAGAAGAGACATCTTTGGAAGAATCATCTGGTAGGTAGTTACGCTGTGGCTCTTCTAAGATGAGAGTGGAAATCCATGCCTCATTCCCCTGCCCAATATCTTTAAAAAAAAAAACACTTGCACCGTATGAGATATATTAGTGATATGTCTAATAAAAGAAGAGGCCCCACACTCCTTTGCACTTTAACGAAGGGGGATATGAATGAAGGTAGCTTTATCTGGTAAAACCAGCCCAGACATCCCATTCCCATGATTCAGTTACCTATAAGTCTTTATTGTAGTGGTTCGTAGTCTTACATGAATCACAAGGCCTTTTGAGACTTTGATGAAAGTTATGGATCGTTTCCTCAGAAGAATGTACATGCACACGTATCATTTCAGAAGGTATAAAATCCACGAAGCTAACTTCAGGACACACACCTGCCCTCTTTGCCCATTGAGAACCTGGAACTATTTTTTTTAAAGTCTCAGGGAATGTCACATGAACCAGTTTCAGTTTGCTCCCGTTGCCATCAGGATAAACCCTAGGACAAGTTATGAAATAGTTTATTTAAAAAAAAAAAAAAAAGAGAGAAAAATAGTTTATTTTTTTTACCTCCTTGTTTCTCCTACATTCATATCCCAGAGTCTTGTCGGCCTTTGGGAAAGGATCTGATAATCAGCATTCATGCTGAGGTGTAAGTAACTAAGAAGACCTGGTGTAAATAAACCTCGTTCGGTGGGAAGGCTGTTCAACCCAAAGGTAAATAAACTTCCGCTCAGAAGGAGGTTTATTTATCTTTGGGCTGAACAACCAAGATGAAGCATCATTAGACTTTTAAATGTAGGCAGAATGGGGAAGGCATTTTGGTTAGAGACCTTCCCTGTACTCTTGACATTATACCACTTAACTCATAGCTCATTTGGTAGGTTCTTTCAATGGAGTTTAAGTCCAACACAGAAAAGAGAGAAATTGCCAAAACATCTCACTAAAAACGTTTATCTGTTTTATTTTCTACTAATTTGTATTTGGACTAACCCATTTGAGGTAAATTAGGAAAGTGAAAATGTATGAAATGTTTTCTTTAAGGCAAATAACTTTTTGCTTTATTGGCAGGCACAAGTTCAAGCAGTGGGTTATACCTTGGCACCTAAATAAAAGATACAATAGGAAACGATTCTTTGCCATGCCTTATGTGGACCATTTTCTCAGGTGAGCACAAGTACTCTTAATAAAACATACTATCTTTATACCAGATGACATAAAGAAAGTCATAAAGACATAAAGACATAAAGAAATATGACATAAAGACATAAAGAAAGCTTTCTTTAAATTTTAATTTCTGTTATTACATAAGTATTTTTAAAAATAGAAAAGTCAGGCCGGGTGTGGTGGCTCACACCTGTAATCCCAGCATTTTGGGAGGCCAAGGTGGGTGGATCACGAGGTCAGGCGATCGAGACCATCCCAGCTAACACAGTGAAACCCCGTCTCTACTAAATATACAAAAAATTAGCCGGGCATGATGGTGGACACCTGTACTCCAGCTGAAGCCAGGAGGCAGAACTTGCAGGGAGCAGAGATCGTGCCACTGCACTCCAGCCTAGGTGACAGAGTGAAACTCCGTCTCAAAAAAAAAAGAAAGAAAAACAGGAAAGTCAGGTAAAAAAGAAAATTGAAGTCACATATAAGCTCACTATCAGAAATAGCCACAGTCAGCCAAGCGCGCTGGCTCACACCTGTAATCCCAGCACTTTGGGAGGCCATGGCAGGCGGATCAGTTGAGGTCAGGAGTTTGAGACCAGCCTGGCCAACATGACGAAACCCTGTCTCTACTAAAAATACAAAAATTAGCCGGCCGTGGTAGCATGCACCTGTAATCTCAGCTACTTAGGAGGCTGAGGCATGAGAATTGATCGAACCTAGGAGGTGGAGGTTGCAGTGAGCTGAGATTGCACCACTGCACTCCAGCCCGGGTGACAGAGTGAGATTTCGTCTCAAAAAACAGAAAAAAAAAAAAAAAAGAAATAGCCACTGTTAACATTATAATATGTATCCTTTGAAAAGTTTTATTGCCTTTCTATTCTTGTATCTATATGTAAATGGAAAAATTTCTCCTCTTATGTTAAAATGAAGGTCCAAATAATTCAGTTGCATACAGTGTGAGTTCATGTTATTCGAAGGCTGTTGAAAAGAAAATGGGGCTAGAAAGAGAAGTCTGTTGTATTATATGTAAACTCACGTTGTCCTGCAGAATGTTGATCTCCAAATATTTCCTTTAGCACATTTTTCCTGCATTAGGTTTATCATTGAATAGGGAGAACATAGGGCTTCTGTTATGATAGAGGAGCGCGTGTTCCCATGAACCACTTGCTGATAACTATACAAACTTAAGATTTTTTTTTTAAAGAGCTATTTTAAAACACTTGGGCCATATCCAAAAGGAGACAAAGCCAGAGGATAGAGTTTAATCCCCAAAACTGCAATTAGAAGGGAAAAGTATTGCAAGTTAATGGTTTCCTGGGCCAAGGGTGCTACTCAATTCCCATTGCTGTGGCTCCAGAGAGAGGGCAGAGGAACCAAAAGGCTCCTGGCTAAGGGTGCTAGAAGTCAGAATTCAAGGCTGGGAAGGCAGCTAGAAAATTAAAAGGGAAATCGTAGCAGCACAAGAACCACAGCTTTTAACAACTCTCTTGAATAATACATTCTGCTTTTAGCAAGTTCCTCAAAAACTGATTCTCTCCCGCCCCCCACCACGAAAGATTTTCATACCAAAACAAACTTTTAAAAACAATTTAAACAGGAATGGAATGTATCTTTAAGCTTGGCTTTAAAGTGTTTAGTGTACCTTAGAATCACATTTAAAATTACTTATCTTCCCTACTGAACCAGCTACCTCTCCTCATTTCATGTGTAGTACATCCAGTCTGCATGGCACTAAACCATCAGTCGTCTTTTTCATCACCATTGCTGTATATTTAATCAGTCCTTGATTTAATTCTTGCTGCAGAATGTCTCCAGGATCTGTCTTTTCTTCTCCCATTGTCTTTGCCCTAGTGCAGTCTCTGTCTTTATCAAATTGAATTACCGCACATCCTCTTGACTGCAGTCCAATCAAGTATTGCTTCCTGGCTAATTTTCCTCAAGACTTTTTTTTTTTTTTTTTTTTAAATCACATCAGGGCTGTTCAGAAACATACAGCAGCTTCTTATCTACAGGATCAAATCTTAAACTCTTTTCCTCCCAGCATTCCTACAAGTCTTAGCTACCTACCCTTCATCGAAGTCAGAATTCTTGCCTTGTTTCCTAAATATTCCTTGCTCATTTTCCACTGTTGCTTCTTCTGTGGCGAAAGCTTTTAAATCTTTGCTATTCACATTTAAGACCTAGTTGAGATGCTAAGCAACTGAAGAAATCTGAGTCTGAGATTTCTCCAAGCCCAGTGTTGTGCTGTTTGATCCTTTTGTCCCTTAGTCATACAGGGTGGTTATAAATCACTTTTTTTTTTTTTTTTTTTGAGATGGAGTCTTGCTCTGTTGCCAGGCTGGAGTGCAGTGGTGTGATCTCAGCTTACTGCAACCTCTGCCTCCCAGGTTCTAGCGATTCTCCTGCTGCAGCCTCCCGAGTAGCTGGGACTACAGGTGCATGCCACCACGCCCAGCTAATTTTTGTAATCTTAGTAGAGACAGGGTTTCACCCTGTTGGCCAGGATGGTCTCGATCTCTTGACCTTGTGATTCTCTTGCCTTGGCTCCCAAAGTGGTGGAATTACAGACATGAGGCACTGCACCTGGCCATAACTTTTAAAATAATGTATGAGAATGTATCAATCCTGTATCACTTTTACAGGTTTTATACACATTCTGATTTTGTTTTTGAAAGTACCTTTTTTAGCCTCACCTTCAGAATTTGGCATCATCATCTTAATATTCTTAAGAATAGCAAACCTTTATTCCTTCAGATGGGTCTTTGTTTTTGTAAATGGTCAAAATTTAGTTGGAGCAAAGACTGATGAATAGAATGGGTAATCTCATTTTGACTGTAGCCTTTATACTTTTCCTATATATGTGCATATTTTTTACTTCACTCAATTTTCTATGACCTCTCCCACAGCACTGGCATATTGTATTCAGCCTTTTTTTCCCCAAAAAACTCATTTGTAGTAACTTTATTGCTGTATTTTATATAAGCTTATTTCTATTGATCAATATCCTGTAAGATATCAATTTAAATGGAGGTTTGGTATCCAAGCATTTTTTTTCATTTTCAATTTTTACAACTCCCAAGTTGACCCTACAGGTCAAGTAATTTATGTTGTAATTTATGCAGCACATGTGTCATGCCCTGGGATACTGATGTGTGGGAACAAACTCATTTAAGGAATAGTAAGCCTAGCCAGAGCCTAAGAATTTATTTTTGACATCATGAGATATATCCTGAGACTTGTGGGAATTCCCTACTTTCAAATAGTACTCACTCTAGCTTATCATTTCCCTTATACACAGAGTAAAACCCTGCTAAGAGATGATGCTTATTAAGTCCCAGTTTGTTACAGGTTCGTAAGATCGGGACATTCTTTCTAGTCAAGAAACAGGGATAGTTGGTATAGGGTTTCAGATGCTCTTGACTTGTATAGGTTTACAGTGATTACTATTCAAGTTTAATAATATATATAACACACCAAATACAGAGACTGGCATGTTTGAAGCTTTGATGTAATTGATTTATGCATATTTTGATAGTATTGAATAACAAGGAAATATTTTTGTATAAATTGCTTTATGCTTTTTTTATTCTAGACTGGAACGTGAGAAACGAGCCCGCATCAAAGCACGGAAGGAAAATTTAGAGAGAAAGAAAGCAAAAATTCTTCTAAAAAAGTTTCCACATCTTGCTGAAGCGCAGAAGTCAAGTCTTGTCTAAGATGTCTGAACTCTTAAATTTACCATTTTGTTTTTCTTGAATAGTCTGTGTACAAGAGTAAATATGTTAAGTGGTTTATAAAGAAATTCTGTTTTTAGTCAAGTGACTTTAATCAGTTGTTCTAAGTGTGAATATGGCATGCTAATTAGCTAATTTGGTAGAAGCTAATTTACCTCTAAAAAATCAGGTATAAAGTTCGGATTAAATTCCCACTTTATGAATTCTGACATTTAAGCAGGCTTTAAATGTCGCCTGCTATCTTAGAGGGTGAAGGTGATGGTAACTGCCACGGCAAAGGCAATAACTGAATTTGAGTAATAATTTTACCTCTGTTGTTAATAGGATATGAAGAGGATGTGGGTACTGCTTCAAAATAATGATAAACACATTCAGTCCTTAAAGTAGTAAGTCACAGTGCACCACAGTCCAAAATTTATTTCTGGAATGGCTAATTTTTATTTAATTCTATAAGCCTGAGGTAAAAAGCATAGGCAGTAACTTTTACTAGTCAATAAAAAGCAATTCTACCAATCCACTGGTAATTAATATACTAAACAGAGTTGGAAAGCATTTTACTGAAAGCAAAATATTTAGAGAAAATAGACATTTATACAAAATTATAAAAATGCTTGTAATAAGAATAAGTGCATTTCAAGGAAAGCACAAACTTATCTTAATTTATAGAGCCAGTTAAAGCTTTAAAAAATTTAAGTGGAAATTGAAATATGCAAAAATGTATAAACATTCTACAAAAGATGGTCATTCTTTTCCTGAGTATACTAAAGCTATGAAACGTAAGGTGACAAAGGAAGGCAGAAGCTTGGGAACTCTTTCTCAAGGGCATTTTCTTTCTACACACTGCTTCCCTCCTTCTTCATATTCTTGCTTGGAAATCCACATCTGTTGAAAAGTACCCTGTAAAATGGAAAGAAATTTATATAATTATGCCTTACTTTTTACTAGAAATGGCTTTTCTTAATTTATTTTTTTGAGAGAGGGTCTTGCTCTGTCAGCCAGGCTGGAGTGCAATGGCGTAATCATAGCTCATAACAACCTCGAACTTCTTGGTTCAAGGGATCCTCCCACATCAGCCTGGGACTCCAGGGGCATGCCACCTTGCCTAATTTGTAACTGTTGTAGAGATGGGGCCTCACGCTATGTTGCTCAGGCTGGTCTTGTACTACTGGGCACATGTGATCCTCCTGCCTCAGCCTCCTAAAGTGCTGGAATTATAGGTGTGAACCACTGCACCAGCCTTTTTTTCTTTTAATATCTTATTTTCATAACTCCTAAACTTTGAATAATTCATTTAAGAGTCCCACCTCCCAAAATAGTACTCGATTATTTCTGTCCTCCTCCAGAACCATACTCCAGAACAGTATATATGGTGTGTATATATACAGTATATAAAGGGGGAGGATGCTGTAAGTCCAGGATGCAGAAAAGTATAAGGATTTTTTTCTCCTTATTCAAGGCAGATGGTAGTCCAAGAAACATCTTACACACAGCACCATGACTTCACCATTTGCTCCAAGAACCAATTCCTGACTTCCTAGACCTCACTGTAGACCTCACTGTAAACTGGGGAATGACCAGAACTTGAGAAGGAATGTTTCGATTTTAAATACATTCCAGACAAGCCCTGACCAGTGCCAATGGGGGTATAATTAGAAGAGGCATGCATATGTTAACATATTTCCACCTCTGTTTGAGAGGGGACATTGAAATTAGGCTGACAGATGTCCACTAATTAGGCAAAGAGGCATTTTGTTATATCAGAACACATAAAACTGGTTATTCTATTAGGTCCTCCGCTCATTTAACAGTTATAAAATGCAAAGACAAATGAAGCACTGGAATTGTTTTTTGTATTTTTACTAAATTTAGTATAATTCAGTAAGAACATTTTTGCAAAGTAGCTCATCTACTAACCAAAGAGGCTAGAATGGAGCCGCCAATCCATGAGCTAAACCTCCGTTCCACTGTTGTATTATTTGCAATCAATTTCAGCCGCATACTCTGAAATAGAAGAATATGCATTAGTTCAATCAAATCTTGTGACTCAACTTAGGAAATTTTTTTTTCTTTTTTTTTTTTTTTAAATAGAGACAGGGTCTTGCTCTCCATATTGTCCAGGCTGGTCTCCAACTTTTGCACTCAAGCAATTGGTCCATCTCACCCTCCCAAAGTGCTGGGATTACATGCATGAGCCACTGCACCCAGCCAGGAAATTCAATTTTGACAGACTCCTGAATGGCTCCCTGTGGTTCAAACACTGATTAAAATACGGTAATTTTGAAATAGGATAACAAATCTCAAATCAATCAATAAATCAATCTAATGATTAGTATTATAATTCAGGTAATGCTCTAGATCTCCAAGAATTTAGAAAATACAAGGCAGATGTCTGTGTGCCTATATATTTAGATATCACTTGTAATAATAGAAATGTGGCATATGTAAAACATTCTTTTATATGGGAAGCTAAAAGACTATTAAATATACAGATTTATAGACATTGTTAGGGCATATGTAACCACTAATATGGGTTTTAAAATTTAATATTTAGTGCAGAACACCTTACAAAAAAACCACTTGAAGTTTTGTTGTTTTTTTTTTTCCTGAGCCAGAGTCTTGCTTTGTCACCCAGACTGGAGTACAGTGGCATGATCTTGGCTCACTGCAACCTCAGCTTCCTGGGTTCAAGCAGTTCTCCTGCCTCAGCCTCCCAAGTAGCTGGGATTACAAGCACGTGCCACCATGTCCGGCTAATTTTTGTTTTGTTTTGTTTTTTTGAGATGGAGTCTCGTGCTGTCACCCAGGCTGGAGTGTAGTGGCGCAATCTCAGCTCACTGCAACCTCTGCCTCCCGGGTTCAAGCAATTCTGCCTCAGCCTCCCGAGTAGCTGGAATTAAGAGACGCCCGCCACCAGGCCCAGCTAATTTTTGTATTTTTAGTAGAGATGGGGTTTCACCATGTTGGCCAGGCTGGTCTCCTGACCTCGTAATCCATCTGCCTCGGCCTCCCAAAGTGCTGGGATTATAGGCATGAGCCACCGCATCCAGCCAATAAAAATTTTAAATTTAAAGTTAAAAGATTATAACTGCCATTCTGTTATTGAAGTACTATATAAATTACCTTCTCAAACCGAGTTTTTCTATTCTCTTAAAAGTTATTACAATATACCCACTGATCTTTCTAAAACAAACATATGAGCTCATCAGTCCGCTGCTAGATTTTATCCTGTGAAGAAGGAAGTATTTTCCCCTAGAGATTCAGCATAGCCCCACTGACACCTTGAGGCTTCTAGCCTCAAGAACTATAAGACAATAAATTTCCGTTTTAAGCCACCAACATGTACTTTGTTATGGCAGCTCTAGGAAACTAATCCATCTTTCTAGCCATATTGCTTTCCCCACTTATGTAAAGACTAGAAGCCAACTACTTTGAATTACTGGAACATACCCATCTTCTCTTAATATTTTTGTAAATGGTTTTATTCCCTCCATCTAGATATCCTTTCATAAATTAGTAATGAGTTGAACTATTCATTCAAACTATAGCTTCTTCATGAGGCTATTCTCTGATACTCCTAGCGAGTTAAGTAGTGGCTTCTTGGTGTTCCCGACAGCACCTGGTCCATGACATACTGAACTGTTTAGCATGCTACAGTCATCATTTTCTGCATGTCTAACCATCCTAGTAGACTGAGCCCTTGGTGTGCATGGACTAGTGCCTAGCAAACTATCCATATTTAAATATTAAGTTAATAAATGAGATTCAAATAATTTAAGAGAAACTAATAGATGTTAACTAGAAAAACTTGGTTAAAGGATATTAACTTTAGTGATACTATACCAAGCACATACAAAATATCATGTATCTATTGAAAGATGAATGCTTATCTACAAAATGACACCATCAGTGAGGAAAGATATGACTGAAGAATACCATTAAAGAACAAACAGAACTTACTGGAGGAGTTTTCTGAGACAGCTCTCTATTCAACCTGTCAGTAAAACTCTGTATTAGTGTGTTTCCTCCTGCCACTATTACACTGCCATAGAGACCCTAGGATAAAAATACAAGAAAAATCAGTTCCACATGTTTCCAAAAGTTTTAAATACAACTAAAAATGTGCGCTACTACAATCTTCCCTTTCATTTTTTGGAAATGTTTTACTATTATATAGACCTAATAGCTTAATCCATCGATTCTCCATCCTAGCTGTACATTCAACTCATCTAAGGAGCTTTTAAAACACAAATTCCTAGGGGCAATTACATAAAAATGTCTGGGGATGGGATCCAGGCAAGATTACGTTTAGAGACAGGGTCTCGTTATATTGCCTACATTGGAATGCAGTGGCTATTCACAGGCACAATCATAGTGTACCACAGCCTCAAACTCCTGGGTTCAAACATTCCTCCTGCCTCAGGCTCCCAAGTAGCTGGGACTACATGCCACTGTGCCTGGCAGGCATGGTTTTTAACTCCCAAGATTATTTTAATGTGCATGAAGTTTTAAGAACCACTAACTTAAAGGAATCATTCTAAAAATCATAATTTTTTTGGCAGATAGCTGCCAATATTTAATTAGAAGTACATTCTATAATGACTTTATCTTAGAATGGTCATCTGGAAATATTAATAGCAACCACCAGCCAAAAATTAAAATTACAAATATTTTGAAAAAGAATGCTCATCTGGAAGTTAGGATATTCAAAATTAGACAGATTATTTTATGATTGTGACAGACAATGATAAACTGAACATATTCCTGGCCAAAATGATTGCTACCTTTCTCTTTTGCAGAGGTATATATACATCAGAAGCACATGGGAGCTTTTCCAAAACACACATGCTAAGGCCTCCCCAAATACAAATAAATTACTACTTATATTTACTTTGAATTTGCATGTATGCATCAGAAAGTTAAATGTCAACCTGTTTTAGTGGATAAGTTCCTATTTTTAAAACGTATTTCAAATGTCTAAATCATCTAAGTTTTGAAGTAGAAAATAGAATGCAAAAGTATCTCATTAGTTAAAGGGAGAAATTTCACTAAAAACAAAGTTATCACTGTTGCAATAAATATACTTCAATTCAATTACCTTCCCCCAAAGGTGGAATTGTATTTGCACTAAAAAAATCCCAAACTTATATTACTATTGTCCTAGAAACATCACATGCCTACCAGGTTACCAGGTGAAATAAAGGTAAAATAAAGTATGATTTTCATAGCCACTGAAAGCCTTTTTTGAACAACATAGTAGCTATTAGCACTATGCTTTAAGCAAATTCATTTATTCAAAATCTAGGCAGTATGTGGGTGAGAAGCTGAATTAGGTTTAAATAAGATAGTCAGTCCTCAATGTTATCAATATGACCTTGGAAACTGACTTTCAACAAAATGACATGTAACAAAACCAATTTTTTTCCTGAAACAATGTCCTTCAAGGACTTACTGTACATTGTTTCACTTAAAGTTCAGTCTCCAAGAACCTATCACTGATAATGAGTGAAATATATAATATGGAGTTAGTATTTAAAACCTGACAAAGCACAAAAAATATGAAGATCATTTAAAATAAACTTCATGTAAAAGTTACTCATACCATTTAAACCACACCTTCCTGAAAAATAAAAGTAGAAGTTGTACTATCTGTAAGAAAATCACCAACAATACATATTTTGGTTTGCTACATTTCAGGAAATCTCTAGTGCAGCATTGTCTACAGAACTTTCTGTGATGGTGCAAATGTTCTATATCTGCACTGTCTGATGCAGCAGCCACTAGCCACATTTATAATGAGGCTATTACAACTGAAGAATTGAGTTTTATGTTTTTACTTATTTTAATTTAAATTGCCACATGTGGAGGGTAGCTACAAAACTGGACACCATGGCTCTAGAGTTGCACATTTTTCTTTTTCTAGTACTTCATCTTTTTATAGATACTGTTATAAAATGAACTTCAAAGTCAATGACATTGACAACCATTAGGTCACTGTCAACCTAACAATGATTTGGGGGCATTTCAATCCCCTAAAAGGTACCTTTAAACCGTAACAGGAGACTGGCACTTACTGGTCTGATATCAATATCACACATCCCAACACTTGTGGTGACAACATGACTGACTCCTAACATTGTGTTTCCTGATAACCCCTACAACAAAAGAAAACAAGTAGTCACATGGAGGCTCTTCATACAGTAAAGCATATCCAAAACATTTTAGCCACAAAAGCTCTTCACCTATATAGGAAAAGCCAGGCTAATTATGAAAAGCTTTTATACCTTTACATTGGAAGGGTCAAATAATCCTTCTGGAATTTTTAGCCGCTCTGCACCAAAATCACAATTGTAGCCATTGGGGAACTCATAATGAACAGTTGGCATCTGTGCAGCCACTCTGAAAACATGTTAAACAGTATTACACAAAAGACAAAAATAATTCTCTTCAAAATTATAAACTACTAGGGAATTATCAACTTGTAAAAAAATGGGAATGAGAATATTTTAAACATTATTCAATTAAGTACTTTCTATGTTTTCTAAACAAATCCTTTCCTCATTTATAAAGTATACAATTTAAATAAAAAACATACTGTTCATCATAAGTTGAATCCGACACTTGAAGTACCGAAGCTTGAAAATCCTGGATAACACACTGTGAGTAAAAGAAAAAAGTTTAACAAACAAGGTTGAGATTTATCTTTGTAATCTATACTTTTATAATATATTTTAAATACTTTTCAGAATGAAATTGGACCATGTTTCTAGATGTGTAAATCATTTCAACAGTATTAATCTACCTAACAAGAATTCTGAGTATCAAGAAACCTAATTCTAAACATTTGCATTAGAAGCTAAATTACACACATTTAAAAGTTACAACAGTTATGAAACGATGAGAGATAAACAACTGCAGGTGCAGGAACCCCTGCACCACAGTCCTGCATAACAAAACCAATTTCAGAACACCACTTTCTTCTTAAAAATAAGCTAGATTAGAAGCAAGATTTCATTACCTACATATACACATGTGCATATACATCACATTTTATGCAACTTTTAATGACTGTACATAGTATAAAACAGTTTAATAAAATGCTATGAACTAACATGACCTCTAGAAAAATCTTGTCTAATATCTAGGAAAAATGAGTAATCCTAATTTTTCCTCATATATTACATGTACACACACACAAAATCTTTAGGTGCAAAAACTGTCAGAGCTGGGTGCAGTGGCTCATGCCTGTAATCTCAGCACTTTGAGAGGCCGAGACAGGAGGATCGCTTGAGGCCAGGAGTTCAAGACCAGCCTGGACAACATAGTGAGACCCTGTCTCTACAAAAATAAAAAATAAAAAATTAGCCGGGCATGGTGGCGTGCACCTGTAGTCCTCCCTACTTAGGAGGCTGAGGCAGGGGGAGCCCAGGTGTTTGAGGCTGCAGTGAATTACAATTGCACCACTGCACTCCAGCCTGGGTGACAGAGAGAGAGACCCTGTATTTATTTTATTTAATTTTTATTTATTTAGACAGAGTCTTGCTCTGTTGTCCAGGCTGGAATGCAGTGGCACAATCTCAGCTCAACGCAACCTCCATCTCCCATGTTCAAGCAATTCTCCTGCCTCAGCCTCCCAAGTAGCTGGGATTACAGGCACTCAGCACCACACCCAGCTAATTTTTGTATTTTTACTAAAGACGGGGTTTCACCATGTTGGCCAGGATAGTCTTGAACTCCTTGCCTCAAGTGATCCACCACCTCGGCCTCCCAAAGTGCTGGGATTACAGGTGTGAGCCACCGTGCCCGGCCAACCCTGTCTTTTTAAAAAAAAAATATATATATATATATATGTATATGTGTGTGTGTGTATATATATACATATGTGTGTGTATATATATATAAATATATATAAAATTATATCATATATATTTATATCATGTATATATCGTGTGTATATATCGTATATACATATATATACGATATATACACACGATATATACATGATATAAATATATATAATTTTTAAAAACCTGTTAGATGTGATCCTTCTCATAGTAATTATGACTTATATAATTTTACTCTTAGTTTCTTTTGCTGGATACACATTAATTTCTATCAACAGAGTAAGCAAACAACCTACAGAATGAGAAAATACTTGCGAACCATGTATCTAATAAAGGTCTAATACCCAGCTTCTATAAAAAACTTAAACAAAAAAACCCACCTCATTAAAAAGTGGGCAAAGGACATTAACAGACACTTCAAAAGAAAACATATATGCGGTCAACAGCATATGAAAAAAAGATCACTATCACTGACCATCAGATAAATGAAAATCAAAACCACAATGATACACCATCTCACACCAGTCAGAATGGCTATTATTTATTATAAAAAAGTAAAAAAATAGGGCTGGGCACGGTGGCTTACACTTGTAATCCTAGCACTTTGGGAGGCTGGGGCAGGTAGATCATGAGGTCAAGGGTTCGAGACCACCTTGGCCAACTAAGAATACAAAAATTAGCCGGGCGTGGTGGCACGCGCCTGTAGTTGCAGCTACTCAGGAGGCTGAGGTAGGAGGATCACTTGAACCCGGGAGACGGAGGTTGCAGTGAGCCGAGATTGCACCACTGCACGCCAGCCTGGGCAACAAAGCAAGACTCTGTCTCGAAAAAAATAAATAAATAACAGATGCTGCTGACAAGGCTGCAGAGAAAAATGAAAGTTTATTCATTTTTGGTGAGAATGTAAATTAGTTCAACTATTGTTGAAAGCCGTGTGGCAATTCCTCAAAGAGCTAAAAACAGAACTACCATTTGTTTTTTTTTTCTTTTTTGAGGTGGGTTCTCACTCTGTTACCCAGGCTAGAGGGCACTGGTACACTCACGGGTCACTGCAGACTCGACCTCCCAGGGCTCAGGTGATTTTCCCACCTCAGTCTCCCACGTAGCTGGGACTAAAGGTGCACACCCCTACACTTAGCTAATTTTTTTCTTTTTTTTGAGATGGAGTCTCACTCTGTCACCCAGGCAGGAGTGCAGTGGCACCATGTTAGCTCACTGCAACATCCATCTCCTGGGTTTAAGCAATTCTCCTGCCTCAGCCTCCCAAGTAGCTGGGATTACAGGTGCCCACCTCCACACTCAGCTAATTTTTAAATATTTTTAGAGACGGGATTTCACCATGTTGGCCAGGCTGGTCTCAAACTCCTGACCTCAGGTGATCCACCCGCCTCGGACTCCCAAAGTGCTGGAATTACAGGAGTGAGCCACCGCACCTGGCCCCACTTAGCTAATTTTTCTGTTTTTGTAGAGACAGGGTTTTGCCATGATTCCCAGGCTGGTCTCTAACTCCTGAGCTCAAGGGATCCACCCACCTCAGCCTCTCAAATTACAAGCGTGAGCCACCATGCCTGGCCCAGTACTACCATTTGACCCGGCAATTTCATTACTGGGTATATACCCAAAGGAATATAAAGCACTGTATCATAAAGACACATGTATGCGTATGTTCACTGCAACACTATTCACAATAGCAGAGACATGGAATCAACTTAAATGCCCATCAGTGGAAGACTGGATTAAGAAAATGTGGTATATACAGACCACAGTGAAAAAAAAAAAGAAACAAAGAATGAGATCATGTCTTTTGAAGGAACAGGGATGGAGCTAGAGGCCATTATCCTTAGCAAACTAATGCAGGAGCAGAAAACCAAACACAGCACGTTCTCACAAGTGGGAGCTAGATGATGAGAACACATGGACACAAAGAAGGGAACAACAGACAGTGGGGCCTTCCTGAGGGACGAGGGAATGGAGCAGAAAAAATAACTATTGGGTACTAGGCTTAGTACCTGGGGGACAATAATCTGTATGACAAACTTCCGTGATACGAGTTTACCTATATCACAAACCTGCACATGTACCCCTGAACCTAAAATAACAGTTTTTTTAAACAAAACAAAAAGAAATTAAGGTGTATCTGTGGTGTCAGGTTGTTTTACTAACCTCTTCCCCATCAGTAAGCCATATGTTCAGAGATGGGTTTTTAGTAGAGAATCTCTCATGGGTTCCTTGTTCTGAACAAAAACACATTTTTGATATGGCTGACTGATGCTGGGAAACAGAACATAACTGAGACATACTAGTAGGCCTCTCCAAAACCTAAAACCATTTTCTCAGTCAAAAATGTTCAGAATAGCATAAAACAAAAATTCCTTCCAGGTCTCACCATAGTAATCCAAGTGAATATGTAGTGATTTGCAGAGACATTTGTTTGGCAAATATGAAAAGCATGCCTCTCACAGCAAAGCTCTTTTGTTAGTAAAGTATCATTAAAAATATAGAGTGTAATCCTGAGATCATGCTCTATTTAATCTTCAAAATATATTTAGTAATTTAAAAAAAAGAGCTTGAAAATATAAAGTGCTCATATTTTACTCAAGGATTTACAGCCTATATATAACTTTTTTTTTAACACTCACGCAAAAAGCCTATAACATTTTTGTAAAGAGAATGAGGGTTACTTACATTACACATATAATTGTGCCAAGACCTTGTAACCTGAGGCAACTTCTCTTTTCTTTTCCAGTTTGCTGGAGATCCTTCACGAACAGCTTCCTGAGAGTACCAAGAGATGCTATGTTAATGGAGTTCATTTCATAGGGGTGGGGGAGCTAGAGGTAAGTTCTAGAAAGAAAATTCAATACTTACTTTTGATGCAATCATATATGGAGGAACCAATTCAATATTCATTTCTTGGAAGAGTTCTCTGCATTGCATAGTAATAAAGTCTCCAGCAAGAGGGGATTTCACAATGCCTATGAAACAGATGAGACAAGGCTAAGAGAGCAGTTAAGTCCAAACTTCCTAGAACGAATTTCCCCTACGGGTATATTTATATGAATAACTTTTTCAGGTAAATGAACTATCCTTCAACACATAAATAAAGCAATGCATCAGTTTTAAATACACATTATATACTAAAGATTTTTAACATACTTAAAAATGATCTTATTCAGAAACTGATATGCTTTAAAAGTGCTACTCATCATTTTATTTCATTATGTGCGTCCTCATAACACCTAAAATCATCTCAGTGTATCCTGGTTAAATACATTTACCTTGTTGAAGGACATAGCCATCGTGGACTGGAATTGCAGTGGTATGAGTGGCTCCACTGTCCAAAATCAGCCCAGTAGAACGACCATTAGCAAATCTAGTTTAAAACATTAAGGAAAAGAAAGTATCAAGGCCGCTAAAATAATGTTTATTGTAAAGGGCAGGCTCTTATATTTCAGAAACTATTTCTTAAACATCTATCTCATAGTTAAAAATGTATTACAGTGAATCTAGGGATAAAAATTGGTATAAAATAATATTTATGGCTTAAGAACAAATAGCAAGAGGCAGGAATTCTAGAATGGAGGTATCAGGAACTCAGGGAAACCTTTATCCTAGAAACAGCTACTATTAAGCTGGTCAAAATTAACATAATCATTGAAAGTCTCTGGAGACTGATCAAAGCGCTTACAACAAACTGAGATGCATTTATTTAACAAAATGTACAGAAACTTGGTAAGAACAGTGGGAGGTTGTGACAACTGAGCTAGGGACTATAACCATTCTCACATAGCATTGAAGAGGAGCTGTTTCAGCAGTTTGGCAAAGCCATATGGCAGTTCCTATCTCCTCTAACTCAATGGGCAGGAAAACTATGCCAGGTGAATTCCACAGTTGGTGAATATTGGCAGATCCCATTTTCCACATTCTGTGCTGCAGAAGGCCTATACTACCTGAATATACTAAACTGAAGTTTAGGAGTAGGGGCATTCACTCATTCATCAAATATTTACTGAGCGTCTATTAGGTGTCTACTAAGTCTGGTGCTTAATAAGGAGGGAGGGAGGAAAGAGGGAGGCTGCTCACCTGGCACTAAAATTCCTTTAACACAGTAGACACACAATGGTGCACCAAAACTGCCTTTTCCCTGAAGGTTATCCTGTTTAGTGAAGTAGATGATCAATAAAGCTGTAAAAAGAAAAGCTCACGATGTCCCAGGGAAGGTGGTGGTGTAAAAGAGAAGCCTATTCCTGGGATATCCAATTGTTAATTATGGGGAAGGGAATATGGGCAAGAGTAGGAGCATGTGGGAAGACCAGGAGGCAAGAGAACACAGCGAGGTCAGAGAACTGCAAGCACCTCAGTACGGTCTGAAAGTAAAAGGAAGAAATGTAGAAGATGATTCTAGCTTAAAGCAGACTAGCACTTTAGAAAGATTATTAGAGGCTGGGCATGGTGGCTCATGCCTGTAATCTCAGCACTTTGGGAGACCGAGGCAAGCAGATCGCTTGAGTCCAGGAGTTAGAGAGCAGCCTGGGCAACATGGTGAAACTCCATCTCTACCAAATAAATAAATAAATAAAAATAGAAAGATTATTAGATCAACAGTGTAAAGAATGGGCAGACAAGAGGATGTGCTTCAGTAATCCTGGAAATAGCTTCCACCTAATGCTGTGGCAGTGGGAAAGAGAGAAACAAATAGCAGGAAAGAATAGGTGGGACTTGATGACTGACTAAATTTGAAGGGGAATGAATTTACAGCCAATTTCCAGTTTTCTGTGATATTGGAAGGGAGGGAGAAAATGGCAATCTTTCATTTCATCTAAGCCAACTGGTTAAAATATTGCCTTCTATCCACATGCACCTTCCTAAAAACAAAAACGTCTTAACACTCAGAATTTGAGTGTTACTTTATTTCCCTCATACTTTCTAGTGTATCATCAGTTCTAATGAGAAACACCAAAAGATGAATAGCTAAAAAGCAAGAGAAAAGAGAAAAAAACAACTTCTGAACAAGCAATAATTGGCTTATGTCTTCTGCCAGAGTTATCACATTCAGTAGTATGGTATACACTTCAAGAGGAAAGGTATTACTCTTTCAAGGATACGCCGTCAAAACTGCAGTTTTGCAAAGGAAGAATGCAGGGATGTTGTAGTGTTCAAACATTAACTCTGTCAGTTTCTCTCTCTTTGCTCTAGTATTCCACTTGAGAAGAGGGGAAAAAGAAATGCAAGTTATTAAGAATTAAAAAGTTGATTTATCTCCAGATAAAATCTAGCACTATATTAACAAAGAAATAAAACAATAAGAACAGCAAAAAATACCATAGGAAATAATCTTTCATAATAATATCTCACAAAAATAAAAACAAAACCTCTATATTTCTTTAGATGTAGATTAAATTTAACAAATCAATCAGATAAGAATTAAAATTCTTTAATAATAAAATTGCTTCTATAAATTCTAGAAATTAGAGACTTTTCCACATATGAGGAAATCAGTATTCTTATAAACATATTATTAAATCTAAAGAGTAAATATGGTCAATCCAAATCCTAAGTATGAATTTTAGACCACCAAATTCTCCCACTTATAGATGGTATTCATAAAAGAAACTATAAGTTAGCAACAATAAGATACTGATAATTTATGACCATTATGCTTGCTTTCTGGGTCGTTTCTGTCTATGTACCAAATGTATTTCACAAGAGACTTTGGTCCAGAAATTTCCAGCCCTTGTTCAACATCTCAATTCTCTCTTGGAAACTTGAATAAAGTAGATATACGCTGCCCTTGGGGCACAAGAAATGATTCGTAATTCAAAATGGGAAGCAGTCCTAGGAAATAAAATGTTAAATCCCTAGAAATACATAAATAACCACAAGAATTCATTAGTGTGTTTTGTTGTTCTCTGCATATTTTATCAGAATAGTAAAATGAAAGTTACAATAGTATTAAAAAATTAATCTTTTTCCCTAATTTTCAAATTCAAAATATGAATTTCTGAATTTCTATGCCTCTTTATAGAAAAATATTCATCAAATGAGTAGAAAACTAAAGGAAAAAAGAAAAAAAAAAAAAAAACAACTACAGAAACATGAAAAAGAAAATCTTTATCTCACCGGTGCCTCTGACATGAGAACAGGATGGAGGCTGGCTTCTGATTTGACATGCATTTTGTAGGTATGATCCAAAATAGCCTGGAAACTATCCCAGTCTTCAACTAGAATATAAGATTAGTAACTTGGAAACAATGCATAGTTGAAGATGAATACAACATATTTTGAGAAATTGTTTCTGTGACTTAACAATTAATACCGTATTATACAGAACCTACTGATTTTACAGATCAACTTCATACCACAGTACTTTATATAAAGATTACCTTTGTCTTCTAGATATATAGAACTTCTTTTTGGTCCCTCCAGCCCCCAGACCTATCCCAAATGTAATTAATCTAACAGACCTAAAATACCAAGTAAATGTTATTCAATTCAATAAATACTTATTAGAGGCCCAGAATGTGATCAGAATAACAGGAAGTACAGAAGAATTATATGGCCTTCTAAATGATACTACTGCTGGGTTTAAAAAAAAAAAAAAACAACAAAGATTTGTATGGTCTAGACCCAACACTCAAAAAAGCTTACAATCTATTTGGAAAAAGACTAAAAGACATGTTAAAAATTCAAAGAAGAACATCTGTCTTCAATTTGGCTTCCACCTAAACATTCCATTAAAACTACTGACATAAGTCATTAATGACCTTCTTTTTTTTGAGATGGAGTCTCACTCTCTCGCCCAGACTGGAGTACAATGGCGCAATCTCGGTTCACTGCAACCTCTGCTTTCTGGGGTCAAGCAATTCTCCTGTCTCAGGCTCCCAAGTAGCTGGGATTACAGGTGCCCGCCACCATGCCCAACTAATTTTTGCATTTTTAGTAGAGACAGGGTTTCACCATGTTGACTAGGCTGGTCTCTATCTCCTGACCTCAAGTGATCTACCCACCTCGGCCTCCAAAGTGCTGGGATTACAGGTGTGAGCCACCGCCCCCAGTCGCGAATGACCTTCTACTAGGCAAATTCATGGACACTTAACATTTTTAATCTCATCTGACTTCTCTAAATTATAACAGTATTGCCTTCACAAGAGTTTACAAACTTTTCTACTGCAGCCCAAAGAAAAAATGTCATTAATTATATATTTCCACAGGCCCACCTGGATTTTTTTAACTTCTTTCTTAGTGTAAAGCTTTCAATGTCACAGCGGAAAACACTGAGAATAAATGGAATTTTATGCTTCCAGAAACTTTTTCTTTTCTTATTCTTCCCCTGAATTTTTTCCTACATCCCTAATTGTTCCCTTTCATTCTCCTTCAAGGGTACCTTTTATTCTCTATTGGTTAAAATATACAAGTTTTTTGCTAAGAACTCCATCTTCAATCCTCTTCCCATATTCCAAATTTTTTCAGAGTAATAAAAAGCAACTCCATGTCTTAAAATCTTTCTTATAATCTTTTATTCCCCTGTTTACAGAATTGTCACCTGGATGTTCTAAGCACTTTTAACTTAGTGAACCCATTTACTTACTATACATGAAAGAGTTAACACTGCAAGCCTGAGAAAGGCCTGCTTGTAAGGCTCACTCTTAGCTGGTGTCTGGAAACACGATTGGCAAACAGTTCCCTATGTTCATATAAAACTTGTCCCTAAATGGTAAGAGTAGCTCGCTATACCTACACTGTTTGTACAATGTGGTTGGTTCTGAACACTTGCTTTCCTTCTGATAATCTAAAATTTTGTTACATGCCAGGTACATGGTACCTACATAACCAGCCCTCTGTAAAATCCTTGGGTACTGAGTTTCAGAGTTCTCCTGGAAGATAACACAGGTTGTAACTTGTTGATGGAGGGATTAAGCACATCCTGTGTGACTCCACTGTGAGAAAACTCTCCGAAGCTTGCATCTGGACTTCATCATCCCCTGTCCCTTTTCCCTTTGTCGATTTTGTTTTGAATCCGAATCTTCAGTACAATAAATCTTAGCTGTGAATACAACCATATGCTGAGTCCTGTGAGGGAGTCTTGCTGGTGAGTAACTGAACCTGAGAGTGATTTGGAGTATCCCTGATAACCTCGCTTTTTTCTTTTTCTTTCTTTTTTTTGAGACAGAATTTCGGTCTGTCACCCAGGTTGAAGTGCAGTCATGGGATCTCAGTTGCAACCTCTGCATCCTGGGTTCAAGTGATTCTCATGCCTTAGCCTCCTGAGTAGCTGGGATTACAGGTGGTATGTATCACCACACCTGGCAAATTTTTGTATTTTTAGTAGAGATGGGGTTTCACCATGTTGCCCAGGCTGGTCTCGAACTCCTAGACTCAAGCAATCCACCCGCAGTCTCAGCCTCCCAAAGTGCTGGGATTATACAGACGCAAGCCACCGCGCATGGCCAACCATGCCTTTTAAAACCATAAAACTTGCTTCTTCCCTTTCTATTCCTATCTCAATGCATGGTACTCTCTGTTCAGAGTTACTCCAACCAAAAATCTAGGAAACTTTCTCAACTTCTCTCTTGCTTTCACTCCCTCGATCGTTTAGTACCATTTGTTTCCTGGTTACCCTGAAAGTCCCTTCAGGATCTCTACCAGCATTATATAAGAGTTTAAACCTTTTTCATTTCTCATCTGGACTCTTACCTCCCTTACTGAGCTCCGTCTCTAGTGTCTCCTTCCAATCTAGACTACATATTACTATTCATCTTTCCAGCTGGCAAATAGGAGCATATCACATCTGTTTAAATTCCTTTGGGGTTATCCTTCAGTAACTAGCTTAATACAACCCTGGGATGGTTTACAAGCCCTTTTATGACTGCTCCCTGCCTACCTTTCCTGCTACTGACCCTAATGAGCCCAATGCTGCAACCATACTTAATTCTATTACATTTTTAAGCACATAAGCTTCTTTCACAATTCCATCCCTTCACACATGCTGGTCCCTCTGCTTTACCCAGCTTTGTCAGCCAGACTCTTTTTTTTTTTTTTAATTATACTTTAAGTTCTAGGGTACATGTGGATAACGTGCACGTTTGTTACATATGTATACTTGTGCCATGTTGGCGTGCTGCACCCATCAACTCATCAGCACCCATCAACTCATCATTTACATCAGGTATAACTCCCAATGCAATCCCTCCCCCCTCCCCTCTCCCCGTGATAGGCCCCGGTGTGTGATGTTCCCCTTCCCGAGTCCAAGTGTTCTCATTGTTCAGTTCCCACCTATGAGTGAGAACATGCGGTGTTTGGTTTTCTGTTCTTGCGATAGTTTGCTGAGAATGATGGTTTCCAGTTGCATCCATGTCCCTACAAAGGACACAAACTCATCCTTTTTTATGGCTGCATAGTATTCCATGGTGTATATGTGCCACATTTTCTTAATCCAATCTGTCACTGATGGACATTTGGGTTGATTCCAAGTCTTTGCTATTGTGAATAATGCCACAATAAACATACATGTGCATGTGTCTTTATAGCAGCATGACTTATAATCCTTTGGGTATATACCCAGTAATGGGATGGCTGGGTCATATGGTACTTCTAGTTCTAGATCCTTGAGGAATTGCCATACTGTTTTCCATAATGGTTGAACTAGTTTACAATCCCACCAATAGTGTAAAAGTGTTCCTATTTCTCCACATCCTCTCCAGCACCTGTTGTTTCCTGACTTTTTAATGATTGCCATTCTAACTGGTGTGAGATGGTATCTCATTGTGGTTTTGATTTGCAATTCTCTGATGGCCAGTGATGATGAGCATTTTTTCATGTGTCTGTTGGCTATATGAATGTCTTCTTTTGAGAACTGTCTGTTCATATCCGTTGCCCACTTTTCGATGGGGTTGTTTTTTTCTTGTAAATTTGTTTGAGTTCTTTGTAGGTTCTGGATATTAGCCCTTTGTCAGATGGGTAGATTGCAAAAATTTTCTCCCATTCTGTAGGTTGCCTGTTCACTCTGATGGTAGTTTCTTTTGTTGTGCAGAAGCTCTTTAGTTTAATTAGATCCCATTTGTCAATTTTCAGCCAGACTAATTCTTATTCATTGATCAAGATTCATCACAAGTTACCTCCTTTGTGAAAACCATCACTGACTCCCAACACTAGAGTAAAATACCTCTCCTCTCTAATCCCATTGCTCATTGCATATACCTATATTGTAGCACTTATCACAGTGTACCATTATTTGTATATATACATACATCTATTTCTCCTAACTAAGCTTTTAAGGAAAAGGAACATTTCTTATGTATCTTTATATTCTCAGTGTCTGAAATCAGTTTGTGGAATAAAAACAAAACAAAAAACAAAAAAAAACCATGGCTGATGTTCAACTTATAGGAAGCTACTACTTTGTATGTAAACTGTAACATGTATACTCTATAATCAATTCCATGGGGAAAACATCTTACCCATCCCATTTTTTAGAGGTGAAATGGCCTCCATATTCTCCCTTGGAACACGCAGAGCATTAGTATCTATGTAGTAGGTGGGACCGCCTTGTTTGCCTTTATCGCCATCTATTTCCATTAATGTGCTTCCGTCATCTCTTTCTACCACCATACCAATAGCTGTAGGAAAATCCACCTGTAAGAGTCAGAAATATGATACACAAGTTTCACCTTTTATCAAGGAGGCATTTTTCCCCCAACTAATGTAATTTATTATATTTTGTTTTAAATTAGAATTTCTGCATGACTTTAATTTACATGAATAGCTCTACATATCCAATTAACTCTAACTTTACACTTACCTTGGGGCAGTCCTCACCAGCATAACCAGCTCTCACAGTATAGGATCCAATGTCAAAAACAAGGGCTCCAACTTCATCTGAAAAGATTAAAAGATAATTAGCATTAACAGCTTGCAGAAGTATCACATGAAAATCACAGCTCACTGCAGCCTCAATCTCCTAGGCTCAAGCAATCCTCCTGCCTCATCTTCCAAGTAGCTGGGGCTACAAATGCATGCCAGCACGCCCAGCAAATTTTAAAAAATTTTTTGTAGAGATAAGGTCTCACTATGTTGCCCAGGCTGGACTCAAACTCCAGGGCTCAAGCAATTCTCTGCCTCAGCATCCCCAAGTGCTGCAGGCATGAGCCACTGCACTCAACTCAATTATATTCATATTATTATTCACTTGAACCTAGTTTCAAATACACCTTAAAGAATCATTTAATTAAAATATAACAAGTCATATACCGTATTTCAGTAGAGGTTCAATCAATTAAGAAATGGTACACTAAAACTGGGTAATTTGAGTTTACTTATTAAAGGGAATTATTTGCAAAGATATAGGTGAAATACGGACAACCAGAAGGAACAGTACAGTACCCCAGTACTACAATGATAACTAATAATAATGGATCCACTGCCATTCTTCAAACTGAAGAAACAAGAAGAAATTACTGTTATGAGAATCTGGAGAGAAAGTTGTATGGGGAGGGCTACCTGATAGGAGCTGTGACTTTTAGTAGAGGGGATGCAGTTAGCCATAGATTACCCTGAGGTGAATGAATCAGGCTAATAAATATACCAGTAACCTCCCTCCACCATCAACTAGGGTGATTCTATAATTTATTATCCAAAGTGGGACAACCACTATGGGAAATTTAGTTACATCTACTAAAGTTGAAATTGTGCATACATAGAATTACACTTATTTATTCTGGAGACACTCTCTCATACAGGTTGCAAGGAGACATGTACAAGAATGTTCAACAGCTACAAGAACTGAGCAATTTATTAACCTCTCTGCTTCAGTTTCCTAACATGTAAAATATACATAATAGCTCTTACCTCACCGGATGCGCTAATGATTAAACGTATTAAATACTTTCATGTATATGAAGTCTTAGAAAACTCACACACTAAATGTAAGCTGCTATTATAATTGACACACTGCTTGCCATAGGAAAAGGCAGAAATAATCTAACGGTCTCTCAGTAGTGAAATAGATAAGCAATAGTATATTCATACAATGGAATCCTGTACAGCAGTTCAAATGAACACTCTAGATCTACATATGTCAGCATCAATAAATCTAAAAGAACGCTTAGTTTTAAAAGCTAGTTACCAAAAAACTATATATGTATACACACACACACCCCCCTCAAAAAAAAAAAAAAAAAAAAGAAAGAAAAGAAAATACGCATGGGGTCTGGGAATGTTACATACCAACTTCAGTTCAGTGGTTACCTGAACTGAAGAAGTGAGAGGAAATCTGTATCAATTAACATTTTTATTCTTAAAATATCTGAGGTATTAATATGGCAAAATATGACATCTATTTAATCTCACTGGTGAATATAGTATTGTATTACATACAAACTTATAGTAATATTACCATAATATCACATACAAACATATATTTATATATTTTTTATGTTTATATATTTTTAGTATGCTTAAAATATTTCAAAAACTTCTTAAAAATTTTAAAAGTAAACCCATTACTTTGCAAATATCAGTTAAGAGATAGTATCTTTGCAGAATGATTTTTTTTTTTTTGGACTCGCAGTCTTGATGTGTCACCCAGACTGGAGTGCAGTGGTGTGATCTCGGCTCACTGCAACCCCCAACTCCCGGGTTCAACTGATTCTCCTGCCTCAGCCTCCCGAGCAGCTGGGACTACAGATGTGCACCACCACGCCCAGCTAATCTTTGTATTTTTAGTAGAGATGGGGTTTCATCATATTGGCCAGGCTGGTCTCAAACTCCTGACCTCGTGATCCACCTGCTTTGGCCTCTCAAAGTGCTGGGATTATAGGTGTGAGCCACCACACCCAGCCTTTCGTTTTTACTCAAATAAAACAAAGACACATTTAAATTTCTAATATAAAAGAAAGTTTATGTATTTGTTACATTTCTCAAGATAATTAACACAACCCTGTAAAATTCTCTGGTCCAAATTATTTTGTCAGAAACTAGGGGATCCTTAAAAGGAGAACACTGTATTTGTTTTCACCACAGCACCTAAACTTGAGTACAAATGGTAAGTATAGCAATGAACAGGAGTTGATAACATTTAATACTTTTATTAACCAGAATGCTGGGTAAAGAGATTATCCTAATTAAATGAATTAATTGTATAGTTAACCAAAAATTTCAACTTCTGTTCCTCAAGGATTTATCTTTTGCCCTGCACTAGGAACCCTTAACCTGTTCTGTGTTATGGACCCTTGTGACAGTGTTGTGGACTGAATTGTGTCTCTAAAATTCCTATGTCAAAATCCTAACACCTAGTACCTCAGAATGTGATGTACTTGAAACCAGAGTCTTTATTCTGTACTTTTTTTTTTTTTTTTTTTTTTTTATGTTTTGAGAGAGAGTTTCGTTCCTGCCGCCCAGGCTGGAGTGCAATGGCACAATCTCAGCTGACTGCAACCTCCGCCTCCTGGGTTCAAGAGATTCTTCTGCCTCAGCCTCCTGAGTAGCTGGGATTACATCTGCTGGCCACCAAGCCTGGCTAGGTTTTATATTTTTAGTCGACACTGGGTTTCACCATGTTGGCCAGGCTGGCCTCAAACTCCACACCTCAGGTGATCCACTCACCTTGGCCTCCCAAAGTGCTGGGATTATAGATGTCAGCTACCATGCCCAGTGAAACCAGAATCTCTGAAGAAGTAATTAAGTTAAAATGAAATCATTAGATTGGGTCCTAATCCAGTATAACTGATGTTTTTAAGAGAAAATTCGGGCCGGGTGTGGTGGCTCACACCTGTAATCCCAGCACTTTGGGAGGCAGGCGGGCGGAACAGGAGATCAAGACCATCCTAGCCAACATGGTGAAACCCCAACTCTACCCAAAATACAAAAAATTAGCCGGGCATGGCGGTGTGCACCTGTAGTCCCAGCTACTCGGGAGGCTGAGGCAGGAGAATTGCTTGAACCCAGGAGGCGGAGGCTGCAATGAGCTGAAATTGTGCCACTGCACTCCAGCCTGGGTGACAGAGCAAGTCTCCATCTCAAAAAACAAACAACAACAAAAAAAAAACCACAGAAAATTCAGACTTGGACTTGTACAGAGGGAAGGCCATGTGAAGACAGAGGGAGGAGATAGCCATCTACGCACAGAGAGAGACCTCAGAAGAAACCAACTCTGCTGACACTAAGATCTACCTCTAGCCTCCACAACTGTGAGAAAACTAATTTCTGTTGTTTAAGCCACACAGACTGTGGTACTTTATTATGGCAACCTACAAACTAATACACACAGTTTAGGAAATTATGAATCCCTTCTTAGAATGTTTTTAAATGTTTATAAAAGAAACCAATTATAATAAAATATAGTTCTACCATGGAAACTTTGGGAAGGCCACAAACCCCATGTTAGGAGCCCTTTCCCTAATTTACCCTTTCCTGGATAATATACTGTACTCCTATAGCTTCAACTTCTACCTAAATACTGGTAATTCCAATCTCAAAACACTCTCTCTCTCTCTCTCTCTCTCTCTGTCTCAGCTCTAACCAATGTCTAGATCCATATCCTGAACTTTTTACTGTACAACAACATAATTGTATCTGATGTCTCATGGGTATCTCAAATTCAACACATCTGAAGCACTGCTCATCTCAGCATTGCCTAACACATTGCTGACCACAGTCCACATTGGCAAAAAGCTGAGAGTTGTTGTGAACACCTCCATCTTTCAAGTTCTGCCAAATATTTCTGCTAAGTATTTCTCAAATCCCCTCCTTTTAAATACCATTGCCCCTGCCTTCAATCAAGCTCTTATCTCAACAGGGAAACTACAATTCCCTACAGATACCGTGCCTCCACCTCTTTGCCTCTTAAATCTACCCTTCCAACTGCTGCACTGTGATCTTTCAATATTGTAACTGTCATTATTTTGGTACATAAATCCTTCAACAAAAATAAGGGGGTGAATCATTCCGTGGTTTCTCATCATTGAATTTGATAAAATTTAAATCACTCTAGCCAGTTGAAATTCAAGGCGTAGCAATATCTGGTAGCAGTCTCACTTCCTGCCTCATACACTGACTTACTGGGTAATATGTCATCTCCTGAACACACCACATACTCTCAGCTAACCTTTGCATATGTTGTCCCTTTCCACTCCTCCTCCATCATCCCCATTACCTCTATTGTAAAGTCCCTTGACTCCACCACATGGAATCAATAACTTTATTCTCTGAACTACCTTTGCACTATATATATATAACATATGTAAATATATATAACATATATAAATATATAACATATAAATATATATAACATATATAACATAAAAATTATATATATAATTATATATATAAATTATATATAACATATATAAATATATATGTTTGTTTTTGTTTTTTTAGGATACAGTCCTGCTCTGTCACCCAGGCTGGAGTGCAGTTCCGGGTTCAAGTGATTCTTGTGCCTCAGCATCCCCAGTAGCTGGGACTCCAGGCATGTGCCACCATGCCTGGCTAATTTTTGTATTTTTAGTAGAGACAGGGTTTTGTCATGTTGGCCAGGTTGATCTTGAACTCCTGGCCTCAAGTGATCCGCCCGCCTCAGCCTCCCAAGTTGTTGGGATTACAGGTGTGAGCCACCGCACCTGGCCCCTTCTACATATTGTTATCAATGAACAGCTCTCATTGAATTACAGTTACCATTTCTGATCAATATAAGATGCTATCAACTACATGATGCACCACTATTTCCGGCATCACTAAGAAAATAATATGGCAATTAAAACTCTGCCAGGCCAGCACTACTGAGACATATTCTGGCTGGGGGCAGTGGCTCAAACCTGTAATCCTAGCACTTTGGGAGGCTGAGGCGGGAGGACTGCCTGAGCTCAGGAGTTCAAGACCCGTCTCTATTAAAAACAAACAAACAAACAAAAGACATATTCCAACTTCAGCTGTTTAAATGTGGGAAAAATGTACAATTAAGAATCGGTGAAATATGGTGTCTATTTACCTAACGGATTCATCTACAAGACTGAACTTCTTGATGACAACAGCCTATACCTGCCACATAGTGCTCAAAAAACATTTTTGTGAAATAGAAAAAAATCCAACATATCAGCTCATTTTCCTGCCCTAATTAGTAAACTGGATATGGTGGAAGTTTAATTTAAGACTCTAAATTCTTAGAATTTTACATCTGTTCCTTTTTCAGGATGGGAGATACATCTAATTCCTGTACCCTGCTTCATTAAAAATCAAGCCCCATGAACCCTAAGTAGGAGAGTGGCAATGGGAGGCAGGAGGCTTAGTAGAAAGAACCACAGTGTTCTGGATGTTTAAAACCTAGGATGCAATTTCTAGTGTATAAAAATCCTCAAGAATTGAACCTCGGCCGGGCGCGGGGGCTCAAGCCTGTAATCTCAGCACTTTGGGAGGCCGAGACGGGCGGATCACGAGGTCAGGAGATCGAGGCCATCCTGGCTAACACGGTGAAACCCCGTCTCTACTAAAAAATACAGAAAAACTAGCCAGGCGAGGTGGCGGGCGCCTGTAGTCCCAGCTACTCGGGAGGCTGAGGCAGGAGAATGACGTAAACCCGGCCACTGCACTCCAGCCCACTCCAGCCCGGGCGACAGAGCGAGACTCCGTCTCAAAAAAAAAAAAAAAAAAAAAAAAAAAGAATTGAACCTCTATTCTACTAAAAAGGCTTTTTTTTCTTTTTTGAGGATTTAAATGTTTTTCTCCTTCCAAGTTTAGGGGTGATGTGATTTTCTTGGGGAACATGAAGGAAAAATCTTATTTTTGTTGTATCTTACCTGTAAAATGACATCCTTTATAGAAACAGCATCACTACTAGACACAGCAACAATAGCAATAGTCTGGATTTGTTTTCTGGGTCTCTAACTCATCAAACACAACCCAAAACATTAATTATATGTATCAGTGTTTTGATTCACCTGCAGATCTTGCAAAAATGGAGGCTCTAAATCAGTAGATTTTGAATGACGCGTGAGATTCTGCATTTCTAACAGGCTTGCAGGTGATGCTGACACTGCTGGTCCATGGACCAGACTTTAAGTGGCAAATGTAGCATTATTTCATTTAACCTTCACGCCCATCCCCATTGGCTAGGAATTATTCCACAAATGAGGCCTGAAGTTGGAAAATTATGTAAATTGCCTAAGACCAAAGCGCTCAACAGTGAGGCGGATATTTCAACTCAGGTCTGTAACCCCCCGCACCTGGTAATCTTTCTGCCACACCAGTCTAATCAAGGATAAGTGAAAAAACAAGACGCCTAGGACCCCCGGCAAACTTTCTGGGCATCCTTAAACTACACGTGCTCCTGAATTAATCTCAAACAGACCCGCCCACGAGTCACTCTGGAGACTCCGCAGCCAACAAACAGGCAGGAGTTACTGAAAGGTGAGGCAGCTCGCGCATGGGGCACAGACAGGGAGGAGGCAGTACCCTAAGTGGCCGCCGCTTCCCTAGTCAGTTCTACGGCTTGAGGCTCGCATTGCCACCTGTGAGACGCTCTGGGAACCCTCCGTCCACGCTTGCAAACCGCCGGGACCTTCCAAGTTTAGGCGCGAGCACATGCGCCCCGACACAGCCGAGTCCAGGAGGCACTCGTGGAGATGCGACCCTGGGGCGGTAACGCAACCCGGGGCCCGGCGGCCGGCTGGACTGAGCTTCCCGCCCAGCCCCGAGGCTCTCTAGAGAAACGAGCGTGCATCCCAAAACCCTGCTTCTCCGGGGGCAGAGGCAGGAACCGGCCACAGAGAGCCGCCACTCCAGGGCGCCCGAGGCGCTGGCCGAGCCTGGTGGGCTCCGGGGGCGGGCAGAGCGTGGGGCGGGGATGGGGCGGGGAGGCCGGGGTCCCGAGAGGGGGAAACCGGAAGGGAACGCCGAGGAGGGGAGGGCTGGGAGCGGCGGTTACAAACCCCACACGCCGAAAACGCGCGCTCTCTCCTCCGGCCGCACTCACTCACCTCCCCCGTACACGCCGCCGCTCATGGCTGCTGCCGGCGCGACCCCTACCCTAAGGGCTAACTGGAGAAGTGACTGCAGTGGCCGCGACTGCGAGTCCCGAGAAGCGATAGCCCCTGACTCCCTTAACTTCCACCGCCACCCCCCTCAGGCAACAAAGCGGCGTCCACACACCCCGGAGCTCAGCTACACTTGCTGTCTCCTCCTATCAGCCAATCACGAGGGTCCAGGCCTACGTTTAGTCAATCAGAATGCGGCTGCGCCGCATCCCCGCCGCGGCCCAGCAGGTTTAGCCAATCGAAGGCAGCCATGGGGGCGGGGAAAGAGGAAAGCGACAGCCGGACAGAAGGAGTTGGGTTGCGGAGCTGAAGCGGGCGGAGCTTCCCGGGTGGGCGAGAGAGTGGGCGGAGGCAGTGGGAGAAGAAGGAGGAAGGCTGGAGGGAAGCCTGGGAGGGGCGTAAGAGGTGCGGCTGGGCGCTGAGGAGCTGCGGGAACCTGGGTAGGGGAAGGTAGACTTCTGGAAATTGAACGTGTGTCTCCACGCTGAGATTCCTGTCCAGTGACTGTAGGCAATGTGGATTTCTTTCTTTTTTTCTTCAGAAAAAGTATTTTAAACTAACTTTAGGTTGAAGAAATAAAAATTTTGCGCTCCACTTTGGGAGAGGGGAATCAGTAAATCAGACAAATTGATAGGATCTTGTAATTTTTAAAATGGTTATTAATAAGTAAAAGAAGAATGAAATGATGCATTATCCCAGCTAAACCTAGGTAGCGCTTTAAAAACGATTTAAAAAATCAATTTCTTAAAAAAAAAAAAAAAATTTCAGGCCGGGTGTGGTGGCTCACCCGTGTAATCCCAGCACTTTGGGAGGCCGAGGCGGGTAGATCACGAGGTCAGGAGTTCGAGACCAGCCTGGTCAACACAGTGAAACCCCGTCTCTACTAAAAATACGAAAATTAGCTGGGCGTGGTGGCACACACCTGTAGTCCCAGCTACTTGGGAGGCTGAGGCAGGAGAATCGCTTGAACCCAGTAGGTGGAGTGTCCGGAGCTGCACGCCCCGGCCATAGTGAATAATAATTAAAGATTAAATGCCTGAGCTATATTCATTTCCACCCCACATCTTCTCCCTAGATTTACCTTCTTCCCTGTATTAATACCGCCATTAAAAGATGGCGCTCTTCCTGCTTCTTTTTCATTCTTTTTTCCCGCGCCTGGGAAAAGACTACCTGACTGCGCAGGCGCAACATGACGTCCGACCGGAGAAACCGAGGCTTATCTGGCCACGCCTTCCTTTTTTAGGTAATTTCCGCCTTAGCCCAACCCCTTCCCCTCCAAATGTATATAAGGCATTGCATTACCGCCATTAAACGAGACTTGATCAGGATACTGTCTTGTCTCCATTTCTTGTGTCTCTTGTTCCCCAAATTCCCACCCCCTCTTCCAGGGCCTGCTTTGACAATCCCGTGGGCCGGGACTCGTGGCGCCCAAACGTGGGGCCTGGAAACGAGGGACTCCGTGAGGAAGAGGACGCGAAAGACCGGTCGATCGTTAACAAAGACAAAAGAAGTTAAACTCCTCCGATCACCGCGGGAACCTGCCGCGTCAGAATCGAAGGTAAGTGACGCGTCGGAAATGGGACAAGAATTAAGTCAACATCAAATCTATGTAGGACAATTAAAAGAGGCTTTAAAGATACGAGGAGTAAAGGTTAAAAGTAATGATTTGTTTAAATTTTTTGATTTTGTAAAAGATACTTGCCCTTGGTTTCCACAGGAAGGAACTATTGATATTAAAAGATGGCGTAGAGTAGGGGATTATTTTCAAGATTATTATAATACTTTTGGCCCAGAATAAATTCCTGTGACCGCCTTCTCTTATTGGAATCTCATTAAAGAGTTAATAGATAAGAAGGAGGCCAATCCGCAAGTCATGGCTGCGGTCGCTCAGACAGAGCATATTTTAAAGGTTAGCTCCCGCTCTAACCTCACAAAGCCTCCGCAAGATACGGAGGAAGATCTCATTTCCCTCGAAAGTGATCATGAAGAAATCAAGTCTCCTTCTGTAACAGATAAAGAAATACCACACGAAAATAAACCAAAAAAATACCCAATTTTACAGATGTTTCAAAAGGAGGAGGAAGTTAATAAGCCTAATCAATCGGATATAAATTGGGATAATTTAGAGGAAGAGGCGGCTAAATATCACGACCCTGATTTGCCTCCCTGTTCTTCATACCCACCCCCATATAATAAGACACATAATGAGGCTTCTGCGCCCATTGTTATGGCAGCAATAGATCCCAAAGAAGAATTAAAGCAAAAAATTGCTCAACTAGAAGAACAGATTAAACTTGAAGAGTTACATCAATCATTGATAATTAGGCTCCAAAAGCTAAAAACAGGAAATGAAAAAATACCTAACGCAGACGCTATGGAGGGTTCCTTGCGCCCACTTCAGCGGCCTGGACAACATGTCCCAAGAGGGGGGTTAGTTGCTAGCCGACACAGAGAAGACTCCTCCCCCAAAGACGTTTTTCCGGTCACTGAAACCATAGATGAACAGGGACAGGCTTGGAGACATCATGCTGGGTTTGATTTTACCATCATAAAAGAGCTAAAGACTGCTGCCTCTCAGTATGGGGCTACTGCTCCATATACTCTTGCTATAGTGGAATCTGTAGCCGATAATTGGCTCACCCCTACAGACTGGAATACCTTAGTCAGGGCAGTTCTTTCTGGGGGAGACCACTTAATTTGGAAGTCAGAGTTCTTTGAAAATTGTAGAGATACAGCTAAAAGAAATCAACAGGCAGGAAACGGTTGGGATTTTGATATGTTAACTGGTTCAGGTAACTATGCAGACACTCAGGCCCAAATGCAATATGACCCTGGACTGTTCTCACAAATCCAGGCTGCTGCTACAAAGGCCTGGAGAAAACTTCCCGTTAAAGGAGATCCAGGGGCCTCGCTCACAGCGGTTAAACAAGGACCCGATGAGCCATTTTCAGACTTTGTGCATAGACTTATGACCACGGCAGGTAGAATCTTTGGAAATGCAGAAACGGGTGTAAATTATGTTAAACAGTTAGCTTATGAAAACGCCAACCCCGCTTGCCAAGCGGCAATCAGACCTTATCGAAAGAAAACAGATTTAACAGGATATATTCGCCTTTGTTCAGATATTGGGCCCTCATACCAACAAGGTCTAGCAATGGCTGCCGCCTTCAGCGGTCAAACAGTAAGAGACTTCCTCACTAACAAAGGTAAAGATAAAGGGGGATGTTTTAGATGCGGTAAAAAGGGACACTTCGCAAAAGATTGCCATGAAAACCAAAATAAAAATCCAGAAACAAAAGTTCCAGGTCTTTGCCCAAGGTGTAAAAGAGGAAGGCACTGGGCAAACGAATGTAAATCTAAAACTGACAGTCAAGGAAATCCTTTACCCCCCAGGCAGGGAAACGGGATGAGGGGCCAGCCTCAGGCCCCGAAGCAAGCATATGGGGCAGTCAGCTTTGTTCCAGCCAGCAACAGCAATCCATTTCAAAACTTAGTAGAGCAACCCCAGGAAGTGCAGGATTGGACCTCAGTTCCACCTCCCACACAATACTAACACCTGAAATGGGACCGCAAGCCTTAAATACAGGAATATATGGGCCTTTACCACCTAACACTTTTGGGCTACTTTTAGGAAGAAATAGTGTCACCATGAGAGGCTTACAAGTCCTCCCTGGAGTTATCGATAATGATTATAAAGGAGAAATTAAAATTATGGCCAGAGCTATTGATAGTATTATTACTGTCCCTCAAGGAGTTAGAATAGCTCAATTACTCCTGCTACCTTTGGTTAAAACAGATAATAATATCCAATACTCTAATAGAAATATAAAAGGTTTCGGATCATCAGATATATATTGGGTGCAACCAATTACAAATCAAAAACCCTCTCTAACCTTATGGTTAGACGGGAAAGCATTCACTGGACTAATAGACACAGGGGCTGATGTAACTATCATTAAACAGGAAGATTGGCCCTCTCATTGGTCTACCACAGAAACTTTAACTCACTTGAGAGGAAGTGGACAAAGCAGTAATCCTAAACAAAGTTCTAAATACCTAACATGGACAGATAAAGAAAACAATTCAGGCCTCATTAAGCCATTTGTCATCCCTTACCTACCTGTTAACCTTTGGGGGCGAGATCTACTCTCTCAAATGAAAATTATAATGTGTAGTCCAAATGATATAGTTACTGCACAAATGTTAACTCAAGGATACACCCCTGGTAAAGGTCTTGGAAAAGGAGAGAACGGTATCCCACAGTCTATACTGGTTTCAGGACAACTTGATAAAAAGGGGTTTGGAAATTTTTAGCTCAGGCCACTGACATACCTGCACCCCAAAGGTGCGCTGACCCCATTACTTGGAAGTCAGATAAGCCCGTTTGAGTTGATCAGTGGCCTTTACTCAATGATAAACTAAGTGCTGCCCAACAGTTAGTGCAGGAACAACTAGCAGCAGGACATATTGAGGAAAGTAATTCCCCTTGGAATACACCTATTTTTGTTATTAAAAAGAAGTCTGGTAAATGGAGACTCTTACAAGATTTAAGAGCAGTAAATATCACTATGATCCTTATGGGTGCCTTACAACCAGGATTGCCTTCACCGGTTGCGATTCCTCAAAAATATTTTAAAATCATTATTGACCTTAAAGATTGCTTTTTTACAATTCCCCTTCACCCTGCTGATCAGAAAAGATTTGCCTTTAGTCTTCCATCTACAAATTTTAAACAACCAATGAAGCGCTATCAATGGAAAGTCTTACCTCAGGGTATGGCCAATAGTCCTACCTTGTGTCAAAAATATGTAGCTGCCGCTATAGAGCCAGTCAAAAAAACATGGACACAAATGTATATTATACATTATATGGATGATATTTTAATAGCAGGAGAAATTGGCGAACAAGTCTTGCAGTGCTTCGCCCAACTCAAACAAGAGTTAACAGCAGCCAGACTACAAATAGCCCCAGAAAAAGTACAATTACAAGATCCATACATTTATCTTGGTTTCCAGATTAATGGACCCAAAATCATTAATCAAAAGGCCGTTATACGTCGTGATCATTTAAAAACTTTAAATGATTTCCAAAAATTACTGGGAGACATAAATTGGCTTCGACCGTATTTAAAGCTCACCACAGGAGAGT